GACAGAATGTTGTTTCCAAAATTACTTTAAATGCTTATCTCAAGACAAATTTTATGTAGACACACACACACACACACACATACACACATTTATATAGCACTCCAGCTGCTAAATAACAGATTTATGTACTCTAAGCAAAGGTAAGATGAGAGACTTTCAGTTCTATGCTTGTCATTCCATTGAGCCAAATACTAGCCCTAAAATCCTTGGAAAATAGAAAATTGACATTACTGACATGTAGCAGACATGGGGAATATATGTATATGTGCATATACATATGTATTTATACATGTGTACATATACATGTTATAAATATATGTAGGAGACAGGCCTATATGTGTATGCATGTAAGATGTATCTTTAACATTTCAATTTTCTGGTTCCATATATATGGAAACTTGGTGAGCCATCCATCTGGTGCTGAAATTTCCATAAGCCATCTGGGAGTTTCAATCCCCTCTTTCCCACCCTAGCTGACTGATCTCAGCTCTGTGCTGCCTAAATACTGATGGTGGACCCTTTTTGACCTACCACAGTGCCGCCATCTTGCCTCATCCACACCCCAAGTTGATCTGAGATTGCAGGCTTCTACAATGTCCAAAAAACTGGCAAAGATTTGGTTTGAATCCCATAGAAACTATCCCATTTACAATCCTCTTGAGACCTCTTCTGGCTGCAAAGAACATCTTTCAATAAATCTCATTGAGACTTGTAAATTCTATACCAATAACCTATGTGTTTCTCTCCTTCCTGGGTGTGCTAGTTACCATAAGTATTTAAAAGGCAAATCACTAAACATAAAAAGGATTATGGACAGGAGAATCTAACCAATCCCTCTTTTAAATTATTTCCAATGAGCCCAGAAGTCCATTGAATTCCTTTAAGTACCAACTAAAATCCCGTCTTCTACAAGAAGTCTTTCTTCTTAACCTCTCTTAATTTTTGTGTCTTCCCTCTTTTATTTCCTATGTATCCTGTATATAGCTTGTTTGCAAATATCCAATGCTTTGTTGTCTCCTTCATTAGACTGTAAGCTCCTTGGGGACAAGGATTGTCTTTTGCTTCTTTTTACATCCTTAGCACAGTACATGGCATATAGCGGGAATTTAATGTTTATTAGCTTATAGACTGAAAGTAACACTAAATCATTTGGTAAAAGGAATAAGGTAATGAATCAAATCATTGATGAAAATGTGGAATAGAAAAGGGCAGAGAGGAGTGTGAGCTAGGAGGTCCCTGGTCTTTAACTAGATATTGAATTCATGTAATTCTATTACTGTTCAGTCTGCATCTTCCCATTGAGTCCATGAGTATATATCATAAGATGCTGATGAATGCTTGGACATACCATAAAGGCTACTATTTCAAAAACAGAAATGAGTTCTGTGAGCAAAGACCTGTTCTTCATTAATTCATTTTGATATTTCCAGAATGTTCCTGTTAAAACATGTGTTACCCAAGTAGTATAACCCATTACCCGATTCATTTACAAGGAGCAGTGGGAAGAATCAGTCACAGGACAAGCAGATGGTGTTTAGATCTGGAGAGAAAGCAGGTACTTTTATTACTCAAGTATGGCACTTTACATTTTTATCTATTAAATTTCTATTATTTTGGTGTTTGCGCTGGCTATCAAGATTGCTTTAAATCCTATCACTCAACAAGTTAGGCATCCCTCCCAACTTCATGCTATTGACACCCATATTGATAAGCATCCCTGTAGGCCAAAGGTGGGAACCTGTAGCCTCAAGGCCACATGTGGCCCTCTAGGTCCTCAAGTGCAGCCCTTGGACTGAATCCAAACTTCACAAAACAAATCCCCTTAATAAAATATTTTAATGAAATGCAGGTCTGACCATATCAATTTGCCTACTCAATAAACTCCAGTGACTTTATCACCTCAAGGACCAAATATAAAATCTTCTGATATTCAAAGCCCTTCATAACCCAGTCCTCCATCCCGTTCCTATCCCTTTCCAGGCTTTTAAACCTCACTCCCTACCACATACTGTTTGATGCGATGATACTGGCCTCTCGGCTGTTGCTCAAGACCCTGCATCTCTCAGCTCTGGGCATTTCCTCTGGTAGCTCCCTGTGCCTGGAATGCTTTCATTCCTCATCTCTGCCTACTAGCTTCTCACCTGTTAGCTTCTCTTGCTTCCTTCAAATCCCAGCTAAAATCCCTTCTTCTACAAGAAGCATTTACCAACCCTTCTTAATTTTAGTGCTTTTCCTCTCTTTCCCTATAGCTTGTTTGTACATTGCTTGTTGTCTCTCATTAGATTGTGGGCTCCCTGAAGGCAGGTACTTTTTGCCTCTTTTTGTATCCCCAGTATTTAGTACAGTGCCTGGCACATAGTTGGTGCTTACTAAATGTTTACTGATTGAGTACTTTGTCTACATCATTTATTTCCCTGACTTCTGGTCAACATGGGAAATGAAGTTAGTCTGATAACAATCTGTTCTTGACTTTAAGCCTGGCTCCTGGTGATTGCTACTTCCCTTTTTAAATGCTCATAAATCATCCTTTTAATATTAACATTCTGGGATTTTGCCAAGAATCAGTCAAGCTCACTGTTTTATAGTTTGCAAAGTCCCATCCTCTTCCCCTTCTAAAAAATTGAGACATTTTCCACATTTTTGTTGTTGTCATTTTTCAGTCATGTCCAACTCTTTGTGACCCCATTTGGGGTTTTCTTGGCAGAGATACTGGAGTGGTTTGCCATTTCCTTTTCCAGCTCATTTACAGATAAGGAAACTGAGGCAAACAAGATTACGTGACTTGCCCAGGGTCACACAGCATTTGAACACAAGAAGACTAGTCTTCCTGACTCCAGGCCCAACATTATATCCACTGTGCCACCTAGCTGCTCCTCGTAGTCCTGCAGCACCCTCCCATTATGCACATACAATGGTCAGAGCTCTCCTCATCAACTGGGCCCCCAGAAGGCTAGCCCAAGGTCTACGTACTTTGTGGGTCAGAGCCCTCTCTAAACCACAACTCACAATTTCCCATTCTTTACTTTCTATTAGCCAAATGAAACATTTAGTTCACAACAAAAAAATTTAATAAAATAGAATAAAACATTCACCCTATAAACTGTGAACTCAATCTTCCACAAAACACATTTAATGGGAAGCGTACCTTGCACAGGAATCGTGAGTGTAGCACTGAAAGGGAACATGAAAACAGGGCATACATATGAGGGCAACTCACACCTCTGATACTGCAAAGCTGCTAGTCTTCTTTCCTTGTACTGATCTCTACTTTGCCCCCCATCAGGCATCAATTTTCAACTGCCACCTATTGGACATCACGCTTCTTTCCAATGGCTTTCAGCCATCCAGCTATCTTCAGATTCACATGCTCCGCCCAATGTCCATTAGAAGTGTTGTGGTTAACTTCTCCCCTGTAGGGAGTAATACAGCTCTGCCAACCAGTTCTTTTAGACAAGCCCACCACCAACTAGGGAGCGTTGTTTTTAGTAAGCCTCTTTCCTGCAGGAATGGCTATACATTTTCTAACCTTCTTTCTGAGCCTCAGCTATTGTCCTCGACTATGGTGCTCTTTCTACTGCCTGCTATTCTGTCCTTAGGCAGCCCTCTCATTCAATGCTGCACCAAAGTTAACAAACCTAGGCTGAAATCAGGTGGGTTCTTTAATAATTTGTTTGAACATTCTCTGAACTACTGCAAACTACCCTCTTCTGTCTTCCCTAAGACTCAGTGCAAATGTGATCTAACATTGTAAAAACTACACTGCAGGTCTTAGCTCTTATCTCATACACACTTTCTTGGCTAGGCAAATACTCTCAGAGCTCAACCTTGTCAAACAGAAAAGAAGCTGACTGATATTGTGATGAAGCTATAGATAACTTCCCTCCTTCATGCTCCTCAGTCCTAACAGATATTGTGGCTACAGAAGGCCATCAAGGCTGGTGATCTTTGTCCCACTTTCCTTCAGGAGAACAACATACTCTCATCTCTTCATCTCTTGATAAGTTTCTCCAAAGATCAATGACAGGAGAAAAAGAAACATGTTAGTTTGGTTCTTTCAGTACCTGGGATGTGGTTATCTGGGCCTGAAAATTTGGACTCATGAAAGCAGCAGGTGTTCTTTTTATTACTTCTTTACTTATCTCAGGTTCCAACTCCTTGATAAATATTTTTGTTCTACCTTTCCCAGTCTGAAACTCATTCTCCTTAACAAAGCAGTTCTATCATCCATTACCACCCATCCAGTTCACATCAGCAGTCTTATTTATCCCTTCTGTTATCATTCCCTTGCCCCTAACATCCCTAACAATTGTTTTCTGGATTGTCCTTAGCTCACCTCCCAGTCCTGGATCATTCAGAAATTTTAGTCATCAGAGTATGGGACAGAAAGTTAGAAAGGCAAGTTTAGTCTGCCAGCGTAGGGGTTCTTGGACTCTAAGCTGAAGAGATGAGACTTGATTCTGTGGCCAGTAGGGAATTGCTGAAAGCTTTTGCTGAAGACTTCTGAGTGTGAGAAGAATAATACTAATTCAACAAATATTAAGCTGATCATTAATTGATCAATACTGGTTTAGGAAGATTAATCTTTCAATAGCTTACGAGCTAAATTTGTTATCCTATCAAAGAATTTCAAGCTTCATAAAAGTCAAAAAGTATGACAAATTTTAAATAAATATACAACACTGACAGAATGAGTCCAGAAGAACAAATGACTTGAGATACTTCACAACTCAGATTTGTAGTCATGTGTGCCAAAACAGAATTTATATACTTTGTATATCAGTTTGTGATAAGTGTTCCTCATAGGAATTTGTACTAGAGAAATTTAATGTCCTCACTGGCTTCTTATTCAGAGCAAACAGTTAAGCAGCATGTGCATTTCTAAAATTTTGATTTTTTTATTAAAGTGATCTTCCCAAATGTTCTAATTACTAAAATTTCACTGTACTACAAAATTTCTATTCTTAAAGCAAACGTTTAAAAGTGAAAATCATCCCACTATCTTGATCAGTAATAGTTTATTGTAAACATTTATGTTACATGTGTCAATCATCAAATTGAACACAGGGTTTTATACATTTCATTGTATACTATTAACAATATCATACCAGGAAGCGATCCATTGTTCTCAGTTACAATTTTGGTACTTTAAAACCTTTTAAATACAAATTGTGTTTGAAAGACTGAACAAGGGGGAAAAAGAGAACTGAAGCTCTCAGGGAATAAACCAGCAGGAAAAATGGTAAAAATCAATTCTAAATGCTTAAAAGAATTTCAGCTAAAAGTACCGAGGTGGCTGGCTGCACTATCCCCCAAGAAAAACAAACATAAAATTATCTGAACACATTTAATGAGGACAAAGGGACTACCACATACTTTAATGGCTCTACTTACTATAATAGCTATGTGCCATTTTTATAGGTTCTTTCTTTCTCCCTCTCTTTTAATCTTCAAAGAAGTCTTGCCTCTGTTTAAGTCACACTTTAAGACAATAAAAAGTAACAAAGCCAAATGGAATCATATCAAACAGCAACAAAACTGAGTCAAAAATCTTTAATGATCCTTCTCTTTGGTAGTCACCTAATAATTAGGTAACAGTCTATTTTTTAATTACCAGTTTTACATGAAGAGATGTAACTTTACATGAGATAATATTTCTTTTATGAGCATATATACAATTGTAATGAAATAAAGCTAAGTTTGTAAAACACAATCTGAAAACAGCAGCATTTTACATTTTTTGTTTACAACACTGAATAGGCTTACACCCATCCCTTTACCATGTGGAAGCTCTACTAAGCTCTACCAAGCTGTACATCAAAGGATTCCTTTTTCCTTATCAAGGGCAGAGACCAAAAACCAGAGTTGAACACAAGCTTTTTCAATCATTTTTCCTAAAATGCATGATCACTATCTTATTCCATCTTCCCCTCCATTTTCTCTGAAAGGAAATAAGGCAGAAAATCATTCCCATATTTTGTTACAAATTTATGAAAAACTGGATTTACTGCCAACAAAAACAAATATTCAATCCTTTATTAGTGCACACATCACAGTAGGCCCAAAGTATTAGTATCTGCAGAATAAATAACTACCTACAGTTAGTAAAAACAAACCAGATAAGAAAACGTTAGAATAAAAAGCAGCACTGATCAAATTAAGTACTTGGACTTTCAGTTGAAAAACTGCAAGTTATACATTTACAGGAAGAGGAATGTACATGAACAGTTATGTGAGAAATTAGTGTGTGATTCACAGTTTAACAAATCATTTTACTATTAGTATGCATTACTTTTCATCTTTTAAACATATTTAACACACACTTGGTTCCTACTACAGCAGAAAACAAAATATTGTCATATTTACCATGAATATTTTCCAGCACTCACTATGCTACAGGTTCTTGGTCCAAACTGTAAAATAATACTGTGAGCACGCTGTACATGGTTATGATTACAGTTTTAGGAAAGACATATGTTACCAGATTAAACACACAAATAACTGTTCTTTATAGAACAAGGAAAAAAAAGTATCAGCAGAAATCTTTATGTTACAACCGTCCCTCAAATTTAAATGTTTTTCCATATATGCTGTTTTACCAGGATTTCTGTTAAACTGGCAAAGCAATCATCCTACAGATTAGTCTAAACTAAACAATAACACCGCACAAACTGCCTAAGGAAGGTAACTTGATAAATGTAAAAGTGAATTACTGAAGTATTCCAATTAATTGAGTTAATATTTGTTATACTAAAAGAATATAACTCAAGAGAAATTCTGAAACAATACTCCATTATTTCTCTATCTTTGTCCCCCAGGCCCATTTACAGGAATTGAGGATCCAACAGTTAATTCAACTGAATGATTCATCATACTTTTTTTCTTAACTAAGTCAACTCTTACTGTTCCCTGATGTTAATTTGAACTGAAGCTCCCAATCTTTGGTTTGTAAAGATGAAATCTGTTTCCATATAAATCAGTCTTGTGGTTATAAATGAAGTGCTACTTAAACAAACCGAAAATGGGCACCAGTAGTAGCAACCAAACAAGGTCTCTTGTTATGGAAACATTTGATAATCAAGTCTATGTGAGAGATAATGAAGCTTACATATCTAAAACCACAGTGAACATAGGAAGTTTTTCCAAAGTTTCTCATGAGGCATCAATGAATCTTGATGTTCCAGGAGTTAAGACCTCATAAAGCAAGGTCAAATTATTTTTAACTATACTGATTTACATACTTTCAACACTGTCCAACTGATACACAGAATTTATACACAATGGCTACAATTTATAATGACCCCATCACATCATCATACAACACTGGATTTTACTGGGTTTTTTGCATTTTTACTACTTTAAGTACCAGGAAGCCTCTTCAGTGAAGTAAATCTCTTTCCATTACCCCAAAAAAGTATAGGTAATAAAATATAAAATTAAACAGGATTCATGTTTGAGTAACTAACATATAAAATTACCATTGCAATATCTGTGGTGACAGCTTATAAATTTAACAATCATCATAAAGCCTATAAAGGGTACCCTTAGGTTTATAAAAGAAATGCAGATTGTATCTAGGTAAAAATACAGTGCTGACTGCTAAAAAGCTCTCTGTTGCAGCAGGATATGCAATAGTGAGTAAGACTCCAGACAGTGCAAATATTTTCCCCCAAACTGCAACACAACACACTTTTAATACCACTTTAGCATATGTTATTCTGCAGCAGCAGTACACTTCTTAGTGGTTGGCACCAGAAATTAACTGTTAAGAAAGAAAAAAGGCAGTAAGTGTGAACAACAAATGGTATGTGAATGAACTATTGCAAATTGACATTTGCAATAAGTACTGAGGAAGGTGATCGTCCATTCCACTCAGATAAGATGCCATCTTTAAATATTAAATTCTTCGCAGGAAGTGGAACACCCAGTTCAGCACAAGGAGGCTGTGAAAACATACTTGAAAAATTGGCCTCAGTGTGTAAGTCCAGGGTTGAAATTCCTTCCTAAAAAAAAAAAAATCAAGAAGGAGAAAACATTGATTTATAAACAATACTATGCAGACCATTTTAATCAAAATATGTTGTTCCTGCTAGCTCAAAGCACTTGAACTTCATAGAATCTCAGCACTGGAAGGACCTCAGAAGTTAATCAACCAATGAGTAATTATATTTTGATGTTTGCTAGGTGCCAGGCACTGTGTGAGATACTGGGGATACAAAGACAAACAAATGAAACAATTCTTGCCCACAAGGAGCTTTCATTCTTTTGGGGAAATGACATATACAGAATAAATGCAAACCAAATCCAAGGTCATCAGGGAGGAAGGGCCAGAGCACTTGGTGGGGTTAAGGAAAGGCTCATGGAGAATATGGTTCATGGGCATATATCTTCAAGAAGGAGGGAGGGCATTCCAAGCAAAACAGACACACAGTGCAAAGATCACCTAGCTGAACCCACATTGGAATAAGAACACCTTCTACAACATCTCTAACAAATGATCAACTGCCTGGAACAACTTCTCAACTAACTTCTGCTTGATGGTTTCTAAGCAAAGGAAAATTACTATCTCATCTCATAAGGCAACCCATTCCACTTCTGGAATGCTGTTAAAATTTTTTTCCTTTACACTGAGCTGAAATCTGCTCACTCTTTCAATCCCATCCTTCAATTCTATTTAATAAGCATAAGCTCATCTTCATAGTGATTTATAGATTCATAATGCACTTTTCTTAAAATAACAATGTTAAGTAAATACTGCAGAGTTTACAGATTAAGAAATTAAGCATCAGGGAAGCTAAGTGTGACTTCCCAAGATCACACAGCTAAAAAGTGACAGAGCTGAGACTCAAGCTATGCCAATTTTCTAGGATCAAACAGAATACACTTTACCCTTCCTCCATAGGGCAAATCTTCAAATAGTTGAAGACATCTACCAAGGTAACTTTTCTAAATCAGAGGTCTGATCAAGTCACCATTCCCTGCCCCCTAGGTCAATGAGCTTCACTGGCTCCCTATCACTTCTAGGATTCTTCATGATATGTCCCCCTCCTATTTTTCCAGTCTTCTCACATGCTCTCTTGAGTGTACTACACTGGACTTATTTGTTTGCTCTCACACATGACAATGCATTCCCCCTCCCTGCCTTTGCAATGACTATGCCTTATGCCTGCAATGCTCTGGGTCTTAGTTTCTTGGCTTCTTCCAAGACTAAATTCAAATCTCACATTCTGCAAAATGTCTCCCAATCCCTCCAGCTGCTGGCATCTTTCTCTCTTGGATTACTCCATCTAATAGGCATCTTGTATTTACCTAGTTATTTATATGCTGTCTCCTCTATCACTGAGGTGTCAAACTCAAGGAACCAAATTAAAATGTAATTGGGAGATGTTTAACAAAATAAATAAAAATACAACATGGATAATGTTAATTTGTGGTTTTCCAAGTCAATATTCATTTCTGTTTGAGTTTAACACCAGTGCTCTACAAGAATGTAATCTCCTTGAGGGCAAGGGCCATTTTTGCCTTTCTTTGTATTCCCAGTGCTTTAGCAGAGTATCTCATAACCAAAGCTTCATCAGTGCTTGCTGACTGACAACTGGATTGCCTGTTCTCCACTCCCTTGCCATGCTTTTTCAACTGATTCTTAAAGAGAGCACGGTTTCAAGTACCATTTGCCATCCTGGACACAAGCCAGCTGATCAATGTCCTATTTAAAAGAACTGAAGAGACAGTCTGACCAGAGGAAAACTGTGATTTACCAGGGCACACTGGAGCTATTCAATTTTGGAAAGGGAGTATGGCATAATGAAGGACAGAGTGCTTTCTAATGGACAGATGGGCTGGATCTAGAGTCCAGAAGACTTGGATTCAAATCCCACCTATCACTTAAAAGTTGTGTAACCAAGGTCAAGACTTACCTTTTCTAAACTCAGTGCCCTCATCTATAAAATGGAAATATTTCATACTAGGTGGTATTACTAGTAATTAGCCCACTTGGCTATGAAACTGTATGTGAAATGTATCAGACCTTAAGAGCATTAAAGAAGTGTCAGCTGCTGCTGCTACTGTTATAATTATTTCTGGTAAATTTCATGACTCTTAATAATGGTGTGGCCCTAGACGTCTCATTTTTCTCTATTTACTCCCCTAATATGCAAGATCAATCATAAAACCTCAGATAATTCTTAGGTTTCGCCTTGAAAGAATTAGGAAGGAGCTTTTCCATGAATGTTCCCTGGCCATGGAACGTCATTTCTGTTGCGGCTTAATAGAACTATTTTCAACCTTTCTGAAATAGAATTTTTGTCCTTTGCATCAGTGGTCTCCAAAGTAGGAGCCTCCAAAGTGGGAACTATGGTATAACACAAAGAGTGTGTGTCATCAACTAAATGGGAAGGTGGTAAAATGGTACATCCCATCCTCTCCACGAAAGCCAGTCATGAGGTTTTTCTCCAATACAACTACACCTGCCCCTCATCCAATATGGTCCAATATTCCAACACTTCCCTACTCCATCCTCTCCCTGTACTGTGTAACTTTCCAACCTTCTCCTTTTTGAACCAGGTATCCACCCCTCAAGGTATTTATAACCTAACCCTGACCTTGTCCTCAGAAGGATAACTGTACTGATGCCACTGGGAAAATCACCAGTCCTGCTCCCTGACTAAGCCCCACCTCTCCCAAACCCTAAGCCAAAAAAAAAAAAAAGTGTTTTACTGATAAGGTTACAAAAATCAGAAAGTCTCTACATAAAGGTAGATTTCATTTATTTCACAGTATTTGTGAAGATGTACTAAAAATAGAAAATATTTCATGAAAGTTAAACACAAGTCAGTAATGTAGCACTATTAAAATAGCAAAGATTATACACCACAAGGAAATTTCACAAATAAAAATAGCTATGAAACTACAAAATGAAAGTCTCATTATATTCCAGAAAAGTATTCTTAGGCTAATATAAGTTGGGCACTTGTAGGAGGTACACGAATTGCTTTTGGGCCACTGCACGGATTCCTGATGAAAGAATTAAATAAATGCTAAAAGTATCATCTAACTTTTATCCTAGTTGGCTGGCTCCCATACCAAGAAACAGTTACACAGACAGTGAGTACTTTAAGCATCGAACAACAGTCTGTAGTTATTCTCTATGATATAAATTATTTAGTAATCTTAGATATGGACATTTTAAGCAAAAGTATTTCTAGTTAAAATTATCACCTTGTACAAATTAGACTGACACAATTTTAACGGCTTAAATGTCAGGCGTTTTTTTAACTCTGCCTGTTTGTGGTTTGGTTTTTTTTTTTTTTTACCTGGAATGAATGAACAAAATTAAGGACATGGAGGGAGAGTTTTCTACTGGAATGTAAAAGTTTTTGAAGGCTGAAAAAAAAAATAAGAAAAATAAGGACATAAATAAGATTTTTTTAGAAAAGCATTAATATTGCATATTAGATTTTGTGATACAAATTGCAATTTTGATTAGCATTTACACTAGATGGCACCCAAAAACATTACCTGATAAAATTATTGCATAACTCAATAAATATAAAAGGTATCAAGAGTCTAGAAAGTCATATTTTATAAAAAGAGCCAGTATTAAATCGACCATAATATGTAAAAAAGACAGAAAAACTGGCCTCAAAAAAGAAGTTTGGCAAAACATTTACATCATCTACCATGAGCTAATAAAAATAAAATTGAATGTTTTTTTTAAATAACAAGTATTTTGAGACATAGCCAATTAGCCACATTTAAAATATTCCCAAAAATTCAAAAAAGTAATTCTAAAGAGCTGGCAAATTAAGCATACACCTGAATTAAATATTAATTATGATGATAATCTATACCTTTCCTCTGTATAACATTTTCCCTTTTAAAAACACTCATGTACATTATTTTACATAAGGGGAATGTTAATCATTTAGTATTGCTTGTCATCTCACAATTTTAACTTGCTGATAGCTATATTCAGTAAACATACCTTAAAAGTTAAAAATTTGATATAAAAAGGAATGTCAACTTTTTTAAAAGTTTATTTTTCCCAAATTTAATCTTGGCCCTATAATTCCAGTTCAACTTAGGAAAAAATAAAGTAGAGAAGATTATGTCTAAAAATAGAACAGGATATCACAACTAATCAATATTTACTGAATACTAACTTACAATAAGACACCACGCTACAGAAAACCGGTGAGAGGAACGGGGGCTAAGAGGGTGGGGATGGGAAGTGCCCCATTAGAGAAAAAGCTATCTCAGACACTGTTACATCTCTGTCTTCAAGAAACTGAGAATCCAAGATTGAGGGAATATAAATCAGTAACACAAACCCTCACCTTTCTTTCCTACAAAGGCCATGTGTAGCAATTTTCCTACAGACTTTACGATTCAACTCAGAACTAAATAGTGGAATTCCAAAGCACAGTTCAAGAGGAACCCATTCAACTTCTGTTGTAGCTACTACAAAAAAAAAAATACACATTATTAAAAAAAACCTTCAAAATTATTAAAATGAAAGCTCAAGTTAAATAAAATGTGTACTAATTTTGAAACTCTCTAGAGTTTAACTTGACAAGTATTTACAAAGCATCTATTACACAAAAGGCAATATGCCAGGCATTGGGGACAAACAGACAGATATTCTAACATCCGGCTTCAAGCAGCTTCTATTCTATTGAGGGAAACAAAATGCCTATAGCTAAGGAAATACAACTGGGACAGTGGAGAATCAGGAAAGGCTTCACATAGAAGGGAGTGCCTGAGATGAGCCTTGAAGGAAGCCAGGAATTCTATGAGACAAAGGTGAAGAGGAAGCAGCTTCCAGACATTGAGGGTGCCTTTCACAAAGGAGTCAAGAGCTAGAAGACTGAGTCTAGAGAACATCAAGTACACTGCTGTTGTCACTAAAATGAGAATTCGTGAAGGGGAGTAATATACAGTAAGGATGACCAGGTAAGTGCGAGTCAGATTGTGGAGGGCTCTAAGACTTGGAGATCTGAGCAGGGGAGAGACATGAATTAACGTATGTCTTTGTAATATTAATTTAGCAGTTATATGAAGGATGGATTGGAGAGAGGGGATTGCAATTAGGAAGCGACTGCAAAAATCAGGTGAGGAGTGATGACAGCAGTGACTATGAGAGGAGAGAAAAGGATGGATGAGAGAGCTGCAGAAATGCAGAAAACCATATTAGAGAAAGAAGTATTTAAAAAAAATGCAATGAAACTGAAACAAGTACTCAGGGGCTACAATTTTATAACCCTTTAATTATACAACTGTTAGGATGATATGAAAAGGATTTTGAAAAGCTGTTTTTTCAAAAGTCCATGATGATCATAGAGCAATACCAACTTAATGAGGGAATTAAAAATAGTGACTTACAACATTTAATAGTCTCTCAAAATTCTAATAATTTTACCATCAACATTTTGCTTTGTTGTTGAATCTACAGTCTCCTCAATGACCATTTCAAATGATTCTGTGCTTCCATTTACATCGGATCCTGAAGCCAAATCAGGTTCACCTAATTAAAGATAATTAAAGATATTTACATAGCATTCATATTCAGAGAGTCAACCCAAGTACTGCAAAAATCAGACTTCATACTTCATAAAAAACGACTTTAGGCAACAGGTTTTTTGTATTATTTTTTCATGTCCACAAAATAACATTCAACAAGGGGACACTGTAGCTAGGCTAGGTTAGCACACCAAAAATTCTAGCATTAAGAAGGTGAAATGAGCTGAAGGTCTAAGGCATTGTTTCTCAATCTGAGTATGAAGACCTCTTTTTAACGTCAAAAAAAAAAGTGTGTGGACTCCCACATGAAAACAGTCAAATCAAGTCAACAAGTATTTATTAAGCTCCTACTACATATCAAGCATTATGGTATGTGCTACAAATAGAAAGGCAAAAGACAGTCCCTGCTCTCAAGGAGCTCACAGTCTAACGGGGGAGACAACAAGCAAACAGCTATGTAGAAACAAAATATACACAGGATAAATTGGAGATAATCAAAAGACAGAAGTCACGAACATTAAGGGGATCAGGAAAGGCTTCTTCTAAAAGGTGGAATTTTAGCCAGTGCTTGAAAGAAGCATGGGGAGCCAGGAGGCAGAAGATTGACAGTGTACCAGACATAGAGTCCAGCCAGTGAAAATGCTTAGAGTTGGGAGATGGCGTGTCTGGTGCAAGGAGGCCACTGTCACTGGATCACAAAATATGTGACAGGGAGGAAGACTAAGAAAATTGAAAATATAAGAGGGGGTCAGGTTATGAAGGGCTTGGCAACAGGCTGGACATGGGATTGAGAAAACACATAATAAAAAGTGGCCAAGAGTCAGTAATGCTTTAAAATTTGTATCTTGGAAATGCAATAGTATCTGCATAATTTTTTTTTTTAAAACATATATGTGTGAGACAGCTGTTACTCAGTCTTGAGTTACATACTGTTTAGAGCTAAAGATCAAAAGGACAATGTTTAGTGCAATATATGGATTCATAATCCTTTGACAGTAACTGCTCCAACTATTCAGAGGTCCTACTCAAAGTCTGGGAATGACCAGTGTAGAATTTTGGGATGAAGACAAGCTGTAAAGCAAAAGAATGATGGAAAGACAAGAAAGAAGGAGCCATTGTTAAGGTGAAAAACACACACACAGTGGACAAACCAGATGAAGAGTTTCCATCTGAAATCTCTTCTAATGTATAGTTTTCTATATGGTTTTGTTTATACAGTCAACAAGAGAGCAACTTAAATTTACAAAGATTAAGTTTTAGCATACAATTGGTAACTGCATTTTAAAATCTCAAGAAATATTTTTTAAATAGGATTACTTTATAAGGAAGAAAAGTAAAAACTATTCTTTACTTTATCAATATAATTCTTTTAACAAATAATTCTAATTGTCAAGAGGAAGCAGCAGACTTAGTTCAGGAGCAAAGTATCATTTATCAATTTTCTTAGGCTTTTTGTTCTCTTTACATCAGTCTGCTGGTGGGACACCTGCCAATATTTCATTACAAATCTTTTTAGAAGTGAAAGGTACTAACTCAAGGCCAGGGACATACAGGGATAGTCATGTGCTCAACTCGTTCTCCGTGAAGGCTCTTGGCACAAAAGCAAAAGGCAGAACCCGGAATATTAGAGGCACCAAAAGCTAGGAAACAAACTCACTTATAAGGTGCACCTGCTCTGGTTGACTATTTTTAATCCTTTGCTGCTGTGAAAATGATTATTAACATACAAATAGAGTATGATCAAGGAATACAAATCTATGTTTAGGAAATTGAAATAATTCGTATTTTCTTTTGAAATGATTAATCACCATGGCCTCCAGATTTGTTAGTCATATCAAGTATGGCACCAACACAACTGCATTCAAGGACTAGAACTTAATAATGTCAACTTTTAACCCTATCTTTAACGCTCAGTTAGCAGTCAGCCTCAGGCAATGGAGCCTCATCTGGAGGCTAAAGAAAAATATTCAAAAAAGCATTTTCTTATCCTCTAATAAAAGAATTTCAGTCTCACAGAAAACATTCCCAAGTCCCTTACTGCTTTTTGAAGGTACTAAACTAAAAATCAGCTATTCCAACTCAAAAATAAATTGACAAATAGTTGACCTTTTTCATCAGATGCATCACTGAGTTTTCTACTGGCAGCATGACGGCTGGAGGCATTCAACATGGTGACATAGCCACAGAGGTGCTCTAAGTCCACTTTCTCCCGTAACGTCTGCAGTGCTTTATGAACACCCAGATTGGCTCGAGTCAACTCTAAGAATAGAAAGTAATATAAGAACAACTAACATTTATAAAACAATAAGGTTTACAAAAAACTTTGCAGACTTTATCACAAGTATCCATATCCCAGACTGGAGAGTACTTTTCTCTTCCTCAAGTTATTAGCAATGTCACCTTTTGGATATGTGTATATATGTATATCAGCCAGATTAAACACAACAATCTTACAACTTATTTGCTGCTATCCCAAAGGATACATGCACTCTTTTAGAGGAGCAAGCACTTGACCTCCAAGAGAAGCAGCAACCATTTACACCAACTCTGTTCACTTTCAAGTCAGGGCCAAATGCTTACATATGCTAATTTCAGTCAAGAGGGATAGTTATTAGCACATTCTTATCTGGATCTTCTTTGAAGTTCTAAATCTGCTACACTTCTTTACCAGGTGAACATACTGCCCAGAAGAAGAGGAACAGGAAATCAGGACTAGAGATTTTAGAGTTTCATAGTTATAGAGTCCAAAGTACTCACTTCACAAGTGAAAACACTGAAGCCAAGAGATCAAAAGTGACTTGTCCAATGTCACACAGAAGAACTGAAACTAGAACCAAATGTCCTGATTCTTATTACCATACTTCTTCAACTGTGTTCTATGCTACTAACCACTGAAAGTTTTTGGAATCCTGACTCTGGCATCCAACAAATACATTACCAATCCTCCTTCCCATCTTGGTATCATGTCTAAATTTGGCAAACACACCTTGAAAACAGCTCTGATGTCACACCCCACAAGAGGCTTTTCCTGATCTCCACTCACACTACACTCCCATCTTGGTGCTCCTGAAATTTAGTGCTCTCTCTTTTTACTTATCTCTGTGCAAGGTTGTATCCCCACAGCAAAACTGAAGCTTCTTGAAGGCAAGGGCTCTTTCATTTTTGTCTTAGTATTCCCAGCACCTAGACTAGAGCTGTGCACATAGAAGGCACTTAATGACGTTTTTTGAATGGTTTTGATGTCTTCATACAATTCACTGTTTAAAATGTTGTATAGTTTAGGTCCTCCTACAATGGTCTCTTTGGTGACTTAAATAAAAAGGTGTGTCAAGGTGAGGATTAGGAGAAATAGATGTGAAAATACTGTTTACGAGAAATAAATGTTAAACATTTAGAGATTATTTAGAAACCTCACACCTCTAAAACATGAACATTTTCTTCAGAAAGAGTTGCCAGGCACTAGATAAGGCAAGCACCAAAAGAATGAAATGGTTCACCGCCTCTTAACAGGTAAGAAAAGATTTACTACTGAGCCAGGAATTACCCCTGAATCCCCACTGTGTGCAGAGTCAGGTCCACCTGCTCACCAGAGAGAAGACAAATATGTTTAGTCAATAAGAGGAAAGAATACTAATGAGAAATGGGTATGGCACACAATTAAGAAAATTTACTGAAACAATTTCTACTAAAAATCAAAAATAAAGAATGGAGATTGGAATAATATCAATAACTGTAATAACTTCATCCAGAAGGTAAACTAATGCAAATTATTACAACAAAGAGACCAAAAGAGCCCTAAAAATATCATGGCCGGCAAATACTGACTTAACTGCCAGAAAGAGATGGGTACCCCAATGGTGACGAAGTAGAATATAAACTCATTTATAAACATTAAGAAGAAGAATGGATGATTATGAGCAAAATCATCGTAAAATGCAGAGAGAAGCAGGGGAGGGTAAAACCAGTCTAAAGAAACCTTGGAAAATATCCAAGTCAGCAAAGTCATCATGAGAGCACTGAAGGATAAAAAAGGAAAGGACTACAAATGGAAGAAAAATGGAAAAGATCTACAAAAGCAATTACCAAAAAATTGTTTTTTCCACCAAGGATAGTGGAACCACCACACTTGGACCTGCACCTCAAAGTCCCTGACATGCTTACAGAAGGAGTAGGAATAACACTAATGAGAATAAAGGTTAAAAGTAGCTGACTGAATGAAGTTTATCTAAAGAACAGCGCTGGAAGAAACACAATTGTGAGGGCATTCAGGGATTCATTTACAAGGTATCTAAACAAGAGGAGGACACCAAGGGTGTTTAAAAAAAAAAATCTCAGACCCTTGATTATTAAAAAAAAAAGGTTCCAGAGAAAACAATTACCAACTTGTATGCCTCTTCTCCATCTATACAAAATCGTCACAGGGACCATCTATTCACAAATTGAAGGTATTACTAAAGACCAAGAAGGCTACTGCAAATGATGTTCAACAATGGACCTCATCTTTTACCATCTCAGAACTATAAGGTCCCACTGTGTTTATTGCTTGTTGATTACAAAAAAGTACGTGATGCACAACAAAATGGGCCTTTACGTGTTCTTTTGCAAGGCTCTCCCAACCACAGATCAAAATGACTCAAGGTTCTTTGTAAGATAAAACAACAGAAATCACCCTGTTCAATCACCCTCTAATAAACAACAGGAAGAAGGATACTTGCCCAAAAGTATTCACCACTGTACTGGAGAACATTTAGTGCTGAGTCTAGATTGAAGAGGGATCTGTGGATGCTCCAGTTTGTGAACAGAATTGTGTTCATTGCATTAAGCCCTAAGAGTGCAGAATCTCCTAGAAGACATCTGTACTTACTCAAAGTAATCTGTCCTAGAAAAAACAAATGGATGAAGAACGTCTATTGCTCAAATTTTAACATGTGTCTGAATGGATACCTAAAAAACATGTCAGAGAGAGAAACAGAGAGAATATCTGGGACAGAAAAAAACAGATAGAGAATAAGCAGGACCCAAAGTTAAAGGAGGAGAGCATGGGGAGTTTCTTTCAGGAAACTTCCTGATACTTTTACTGACCATTCATAACAGCAAAGACTCATCTTTTCAATATAAACATTTTACTCATATATTACTGCATGGCAGTGAGACATAAAACACCACTTCCTCTAAAAAACTAAAAAAGCCCACCAAAGAAAAGGCAATGAAAAGACATATGAGCAGGCTGCATTATATAATCAACAAGGAGCTCTAAAGAAGAACAAGAATAAATCATGTCATCAAAGAATTGTATGACCAAAAGAAAAGGCAGGCTGGTCACCTGGGAAGAATAAGAGATGACAAACAGCCAGAGTGCTCCACTGAAACCCTCCTGATGTCAAGAGAAAGCAAAGTCACCTAGGACAGGCAAGTAAGGATTCAATCAACTCCCATCAATACAGGTACTCCAGAATCAAAGAGATCACAGATCCATTTGAGTACTTAAGTATTACTAATAAACCAAGAGAACTCAGGCTTAAGCAGAACAAATAAATGATTAGATAATTAAATAAGTAAAATCATTTTAGAAAACCTCAGAAGCATAATGTCTCTACTGAACAGATTTTAATGGCTGTTTATGAAAATTAGCATAAATTCCATAAATGTGGACATAAACTATATGGCATCTAAGGTCCCTTCCAACTCTGTGATTCTGGTACTTGATGCACCAGATTACTTTTAATTTACGAGATGAAGGAGACCTTCACGTAACAAAGGTCTGCATTCAAATGCATATATCCATCACATAGTTCAAGAGATAAAGGAGACCTTCACGTAACAAAGGTCTGCATTCAAATGCATATATCCAACACATAACAGACAGGGAGGTTTAGAGCTAGAAAGGGCAGTAGGGATGATTTATTATTTATTTCTCCACCACACCTCCACCCTCATTTTATAGACCAAGAACTAAAGGTCCAGCAAAAATTAGGCAAGTCACTCTTGGGTTCAGTATCACCAAAAATTACAAATCTGAGACACCTACTGCTATCTGTGCCCTATTCCCATATCTACAGAAGCTATTTCTGTAAAGATTTTTTTTAAAATGCATTACCAGACATTTAGGGTATATCTGTTAAAGGCCCAATTTTATAAAATTATTTATTAGAAATAAGTGTGACTATCTCCAAGTTTCTACATGTTTACTTATATGTAGGCAAAAAAAAATCCATACATTCAAATTAATTTCTTATATTTCATTATCTATTCATGAGGGGTGGGGTTAGGGGACAGAGCAAAGAGAAGTAAAGATAAACTTCTAATGTAGAAAAATATGAATTCACAATAAATTACTACCTTTAAAATAATTCATGATATAGATATGATTTCTATATGACATAAGAAAAGTAGAAAATGGCAAGTCTTAGACATATGAGCAAAAAACAAGAACAGGGAATTCTATTACATTATTCTAAATTCTACCATTTTCTGAAAGGGAATACTGTGATGTCAAACATGTACAAATAAATCAATTATTCCAAGTTTCCAAATTTGGTTAGTAAGAATGGATTATTTTCTAACTAAAGGTTGGTAAGTACTGCAGGAGGGTAATATAAATATAGAAATGTAAAGCAGTAATGTTTAAAAGGTGATTTAGGTGAATTCTAGTTTATATATAAAAGATTAGTATTTTGAACATAAATGCTTTATCAAAAAGTATTCTGTCCCTGAATAATTTTTAAAGTTTTCTCCCTACTTAAAAACATATACACAATAAATATGTATGTGTGTAAAATGTGTATGTCACAATACATAATACATATAGTATGTGTATACATACACACATGTATATGTCCATATAAACACACACACATATTTGCATTTGACAAAACCTCTGATGATGTGCTTATAGCCAAGATATAAGTAATATGGGCTGGACGATCATACAGTTTCATGAATTAACAGTTGATCAGCACAATATTCAAAGAGTACTGATTCCCAATCAATTGTAATCTGCAAGTCTCTAGCAGTACGCTCCAGAGTTCTGTCTCAACCCTGAAAGTTTTCAACATTTTTCTTAATGACTTGGATGAATATACGGAAGGAATATTTATCTATTTGAGTTCAACATCACTAGGCTAAAATACACAAGATGAAGTTTGATAAAGACAAATAAAAAGTGTGGAGTCCGTTGTTGTTTTATTAACTATACAAATAAAGGATGGTGGAGATCTGACTTGGCAATTCATATACAAAAAGCTTAGAAGTTTTAGCCAAATACTAGTATAATATGAGTCAAAAGATAATACAATATTTAAAACAGTGTCCAGATCAGAGATTTAAAAATCTTTCCTCATTCCATGCTAGAGTGCTGTGTTAAATTCTGAGTATTCTTTTAAGAAGGATACTGGCAAATCACAGCATTCAGAAGAGAGCAGAATGGTGTACAGACTCAGCCATGCCACACAAGGCATGGTGGAAAAAACTAGAGACATTTCCCTGTATTCAAATATATGATTAAGGTTTTACTACACCTTCTCTTTGCCATAAGAGTAGCAAGGAAGGGATCTAAAATTGAACTCATTTTTCCTAACAGCAGAAAGATATTCTGCTCCATTTTCTACAGTGAATGTTATGTAGAGATTAGCAAACCAGCTGTGAACAATTCAAGAGTAAAAGATTACCCAGTCCCTAGCTCAGTGTCTTGCACACAGGAGCTTAATAAATATGTGCTGAGTTGAATTACCTCCTTGCAGTTCCAATTCATCAAATGGGAAAGGTATATGCATCATTTCACCCATTCCATGCATGCCATGTCCCTAAATACCAACAAAGAAAAAAAAAAGTCAAAGGCACATATTAAAAATCTACACCTAGTCACATTGAATGCCTAGAGCTGAAGAACAGAAAGCTCCAAGGACACATCTAGTTCACTTCCTCATCCACTGTATAGATGAAGTAATAACTGAGGCCACCACAGGTGAAATGACTTCCTCATGATCACACATGCAGGATCAGAGGTAGGATTCGAACCCACAGCCTTTGATTCTGACTTTGTCAGTGGTAAAACATTGTGACATACTGCCTCCTCATCTTTCCCTTTTTACATATTACAAAAATAGTTCAGTTCTCTTTCTTCCTCAATCACAACTGGCATCTCATTCATCTGTTCAGTTTCTTAGGAAGAAAGATTGTGTCTTTTGTCTTTACATTATCAGCATCTAGCAGAAAGCCTTGCTTATAGGCATTCCATTTGCTGAATTGATCCAAATTACATAGAGCTTTGAAAGTTCACAAAGTACTTTACATAAACGATCTTAGTCTGATCTTCACAGTAACTGTGTGAGGAAGGCATTCTAGACATCATCATTCTAATTTACAGATGAAGACACTCAGGCTCCGGGAAGCCAAGGCACCTGCTCCAGATTACACACATTAGAGGCAGCCCCAGGATTCTCTCCATCGTACCACAACTGCCTCTACATGATACCAGATGGAGCAGTACTAGTAGCAAAACTGCACCCTGACATTCAACTTGAAACAATTTCCCATCCTGCTCCTGTCCTTTTTGAAAGGTTAGAACAACAAATAAATCTCTCTATAATCTTGTTGATATAAGCATAAGGCTTCTAAATAAAGAACTTTACTTCAGGGAAAAATTACATAAGCTAAAACATTATACTTTAAAAGAAACTGAACTTTCAAACTTGTTTTACTCTTAAGAGTATGATTACTAGACTTACCTTTTCACTGTTACCCTATCTCATAAGCAAACAACAGTTAAAAATTTAAACTCATACATAAAAAGCACACAAAGAAATAAACATATAACATTTTCATCAAAAGTCCATTACTTATATTTCAGCACATTAAAGAAAAATATTGGCTCTATTAACTTTTATATGACATAATAATGGCATTCTTTTAGGCAAAAACAAAATCAAATATCTTTTTTCTTAAATAACATAAAACTATGACATTTTAATGCTTAGGTTAGAAGTTAATTCTCTATTATACACAAAAGAACCTCACTAATTTGCATTATAGTAATAACCAGAGAACTAGGAAGATTTTGAGTATCTTCTTTTGCACCTAATTCATATTACAATTGAAGAAACAAGACCAGACAGGTTAAGCAACTTGTCAAAGGTCACACAGCAAATCAGTGGCATGACCAGACTAAGAATCTATATCTTCTGAAGCCATTCACTTTATTCTCACAATTCCAAATTAATCAAGCCCAAACTAAAATTCAGCCTCATTCTAAGCAGAGAGCTATCTAAGCAGAGTTAAAATAAGTCAAATTTTAGTATTTCAAATAAGCTTATAATACCTGAATTAAAACTGCAGAATGTGTTAAAGCATCATTCAACATTGTAAGCACATTCGAAGTAGGAACTACTCCAGGATCATGACCCCAAGAAGTTATTAATAAGCGATCATAACCCTACAGGACACAAATGAACAACAGATAAGCCAAAAGATAAGGAGTCACTTTTAAACATAATTTTAAAAATATTTTTAATAATTAACTTTATGGTCAACAGCAGCTCCCACTCTCTCAGCACTACTCCCTCCCATGTTGGGGGGAAAAAAAAAGTCACATGCACTCAGAATACCTGAAATATATCTGGAAGTTTTCGCAGCCTCGTCCCTTTGGAAAGCAAGAGAGATGGTGGTCCTTGCCCAGTAATATGGTAAATGTATAATTTAAACCAGACTGAACTGACTTCTGGTATCGCTGGTCCAATATGCTACAACAACAACAATAAAACAGATCTCAATACCAAATTAAAGGGGAAATTGAAATTATTAATTTCATGCATTCACTAAATACAGATGACGATCGAGTATTTTTCCACAAAATGTTAAATATTTAATTTCTGTCATTGCTACACTTCTGAAAATACATTTCAAATGACCCAAAAATATAATGGCTAGAAATCTGTACCAACAACTGAAAGACAAGGCAGCAGAATCTAGCTGAAAAGACTTTCACTGTACATCAGGAGTTATGGTGCAAAGGCAACATGTCACAAGTAAGACCATTCACTCAAACATTGACTGAGTACACTTTGTTCAAGGCTCTGTGTTTGGTGCTGTGGGAGATACAAAGATGTATAGGACAAAGAGATGAGTATATACTAGTGGATCATAAGTATTATCTTTATACAGAATGAAAAATATTATGCCTGTAAAGGAATCCTTAGAAGTATGGTAATCTGATGATATGATGTTTCACTGGCATTCAAACCTAAGTTAACTAGAAACCTCTCTTGATATTATATCTGCATTTCAAGAATTCTGCCGAGGGCTCCCCAGTGGGTGGACATTATACTTTGACAGACAGAGAACAAGAAGCAGACGTAAGGACTGCTGTAGAAGCCATTCCCTCTGTTTACCCTGTCCTCTTCAATTGCATCTCGAGGGCAAAGGCCTGGGAAAAAGAACAAGCCAGGCCTGAAAATGGTACTGAGGACTTTTTTGCCACATGTAGAAAACTAGATGAAATAAAGTGGCAACTTCCAAAATTAATTTCTAAACTTTGGATAACTGTAGGAACATTTGACATAAAACTTAGGATTTCAGAGTCACTGATTTTCAAATTATATAACATCTTCACTCCCATTTGCATGAGACTTAATTTGTCCTTATCAGACATCCCCAAGAAATGTGAGATAAAATTTCATAGCTTTCAAGAATATGTACTTTAAAATATTTTATTAATGAATTCATTGTAATTCTAATTTTTGGATGAAAATCCTTATTGCCGCTCAAAACCTCTCCAAGCAAAAGTATAGTACTGTGGCTCCATAAGACAGAGTTGTTTATTGTCTAACTCTCATATCTTGAAGGTACCTAAGAACTCAAGGTCAAAGAGGATTATGATGGCCTCCCGCTGTTGTCTCCTGTGGGAAGTAAACGTTATTACCCTTTGAGTAGAGATTTATTCTTTTTACAATATTATTACCTGGGGAGTACAGCTGCTGATGGGTCGGATTTCATTGGTGAGGGGAGCCATGGAAACAAGTAGAGAATAATTTTTGTTTAAGACTCTACTACAGGTTGCAGGATCCAAACCAAGGAGACTTTCACATCGTAAAAGATCCAAAGGAAAACCTGAATTATGAATAAGCATACACAACACGATGAGAATCAGTGAAAATCTGAAAGATAATGGGTGAGAGAAAGACTTTAAAAGCCTTTTGCCTTGAATTTTCTTAATGAAAACAGTTTAAGTTCTAATCTGTGAGGAAAAATCACTATGCCTATTAACAACTTCCTAACATACTACCTAAAGAACAGAAAACTAAAGCTAATGTCTATTCACATCCTAACATAAAGTATAGCTGGCAAAGAACTGTTATAAAAGCATGCCTCTAGTTACAAACCCAGTATTTTATCTACACCTCAGGATCAAGTATGTAAAGACAATCTATTTAATTTTACTGTAAATCTCACAGAATTATGGCTTTAAAAATCATATGCAGTTATCATACCATAATTAGGTTGTTCTGGCTGTGCTGTTTGTGCAACTAGATCTTTATTGTGACGTAAGAACAGTATTGTGTTTCTCAGAGTAAGTGCATGATCAAAATATCGTTGTGCTTCTCCTTCACCAGTACTCTGAACCTAAGCCAAGAGAATAAATCCAACAGATAACACATTCACTTTAATAGATCAACATATAACATGATACAGATAGATACTAAGTTCATACTTAAAAATCAGTAAGTTTGTCCAAGCAGTGTGAAACCCAGCCCCGCCACTTCACTTGTGTTTCAAATTAATACTTCCCAGCTAGGGCAATGAGAAATGAAACCAGTAGTGCTCATATATGTGGAGTGATACTGCCACAATTTGAACAGTGGCTTCCCTATTTCTTCATGACATAAAATACCAAATGATTTTAAAGGACACTACAAAATTAACAAAATAGCATCCACTGCTGAGCCATCAATATCAGATGTATCACTTGTTGCTAACAATGATAAAGGCAAAACCAAGAGTGATTTACTAGAAAACTGACACCTCAGTAAACTCCCTAAAAAATAAAAATGAGTTCTTCCAGAAGACAGTCAAGAGCTGAACTCAATTTACTTGCATGTGGTGCTAATGCAGGCAAGGTCATGATTATATCTCTACATGGGCCAATTACTCTCACAAAGGGGAAAAATATAGGTTAGGGCCATGGATTGTACCTCTCTTCTTGTCTAGTTCTGTCATAAACTTCGTATTGCTCATCACACGTAGAAGTGAATACAAAATACAAAGCACATGTCCTACTGACACTAGGTTAGTAATGTCACCTTTATATATGAAGAGCAGCATATATATTCTAAGAATATGGAAAACTAGAGGACAAATCTACAGTATAATATAAAAAACATTAACCCCGTAGAATGGACAAGGCCAACCAAATGAGCTAAATCAAAATTAGAAATTAAAAAAAAATGGAAGTAAATTACTGTTAAAAAACTGGGAGTAAATTACTGTTAAAAAACTAAACCCTGGAACACAGAATACTTTACCCAGGATTAACTATAACATATAAAAGGGGAAAAAATATGAGAAAGTTGAGCTAACCTGGTAATTACTATAGTAATGAAAGATAGGATAAGGTTAAAAAAAAAATAGCCTGGGAATCAGAATTCATTGTACTAGCACACAAGGAAAGTTCATAAGTAAAGAAGAGGCACAATAAGAAAAAGGCTGATGTGATTTTTAAAATGCTAGAAGACCAGTTAAAATCTAATGTAAGATGTACAAAAGAAAAGTAATGAAGATTATCTTAGAAATATGTTTTCTTTACTAACAACAGGAACAGACGTTCTACAAAAAAAGGAGTAAAACAAAAATAATACTAGATTTTTAAAAATAGAAACAAATTGGAATTACCACAAATTGAGTGAATAGCACATTAATATACAGGGCTGATAAAAGAAGACCAGAAGGCACCATAATTATTAGTCAAGGAACAAATTAGGCGCACAAACTGTTGGCAGACAAAGAGAAGGAACACCACAGAGAGGAAAATATCAAAGGGATAGAAAACACCAATAAAGGGGCAATGAAGATTTATAGCTAGGAAAACTAGGGCTGTACTCACTGGGAAAAAGTTGGTTAAGGGCAAATATGGCTGAAGTCTTCAAGATGCTAAAAGGGATAGTGAGAGTGGACATAAATAACTGTAATACCATGGGATACTGTTCCACATTTAAAGGTGGAACAAAAGTTCAGGTAAATCTCACCAAGTGGTGAACGTAACAGTGGCATACTAAAAGATATAATTTAAGGGAACAATCACAAGATTGTATATTTGGGGCTGCAAGGGACACTAGCAGCTATCTAGTCCACCCCTTTTATTTTACAAATAAGGAAACTGAGGGTCCAGAGAGAAGGGACTGGCCCAAGGTCACACAGTTCATAAAGTGGCAGAGGCAGGACCTGAAACCAAATCTTCTGATTCCAAATACAATGCTCTTTCCACAACCCCAAAGATATTTTGGAATCAAGTTACTTTCAGACCCAGATTTCTAATCCCCCTTCTACATAACTAAATTAATTATTTCTATAGAGGTAGACTTATGTCATGTCACTCTTTCCAGTAATCAGTGGACTCATTCATTCAATATGTCAGGGCCTCAAAGACTGACAAGAATAAATGTACTTAAAACATTTAAAGAAGAAAAATAAATGTATCGAAAAAATGGTAACACTTGTAATCTAGCTTCTTAATTTTATCAGTGCCCATTAGTTCTTTCTGCTCAGAAGAATGGATAACTACATTCATATTGAAAGTTTAAAACTACCTTTTCAAGCTCGATAAGAAAGCTGTCCAGAGATTCATCTGATAGTTTCCCAACTTCAAACATAGTGACTGCATGACTTTTCAGGTTCTAAAAGAGATATCCAAGAAAGGAAAAACAAGTTTAGTTTGTAAATATTTTCCAAATTTTTCTTTCTTTCTTTTTTAACAATTCGAGTATGCTTCAATTTAAGAAACTCCAAAAAACTACATTACACTCCTTCCCCTCACTCCACAAAGAAAACCTTTTTTTACAAAATCAGGGGATTTTCTTCATATTTCACAAAATGATTCAATACAAGCTCCTTAAAAACACACTGACCAGTTATATCTTAAATATAGCGTGGGTTACCAGAAAAGTAATTACATCCTTTTTTAAAAAATTAAATTATATTGATGTCTTTTTTTTTAATACCTGCATTTCCCACTGTTTCCTGCCCATCTCCCCCTCAAAGAAAGACATCACTTATAATAAGAATAAAGGAAGAAAAAATAGTTCAGCAAAACTAATGAATCAAAAAAGTCTAACATTATATGCAATATTTCAAACTCAATCGTTCTTACCTTTCTTCTTTGGGTATATATATATTTGCATACTTGTTTTCAGAAGCAATGTACATATGTATCACATTAGTTCATATTCAACCTATTTTACAATTTTAGAAGTTTTCAAGTTTTAAGAAGAAATTTACATACTGGTGAAAGATTTCCCATCATTAAAAAGGCAGTGAGAGTAGAATCAAATAGGAAGGCAATACGCTTTGTGTATCCTGTAGACAGACTCAAGCTGCTTATGCTGGCTGTGTCAGCTAAATTAAAAAAAAAAAATGTGCAATTCATATTTACAATCAGCTAAATCAAGAGCTTGCTTTATCTGTACAATCACTAAAAACAGTTCACTAATGTAGAAATACTGAAATCTCATCACTTTCAACTTTTTTTCCACTAATGATGAGAAAGCACATATTCATTCAATGCAAAGAATACATGTAAAGAACACTGAAAGCATAACACAGGCACCCAATCATACAAATATGAAATTAGACTCAAAAAACATATCACTATTGATAAAGCTTCCATGTATATCAAAGATTTAATGAGAATAATTTTAACTTATTTTTATTTAATGACATCTCAACAAATTCCAGAGATCATTTCTCAGTCTTCTTAATATAGGTGTCTTTTTCATACTTCACAATTTTAGCCATATATTGGATGATTATTTTAACCATAAAATTCTAACCAAGTATTTCTTCAAAAAATTTAATAAAATGTACAAGTTCTGAACCTTTATATAAATATGAAAATAAATTAGTAGTCATCTTCATTTTCCTATGCTTATTTCCCATTCTCATTTCCCACCAAAAAATCTATTTTTTTCAATTCTTAAACAACTGCAACAACCCTGAACATACATGAAAGTTAATGCTGTTTTGATACACAGGTTAAGTTCATTTCAAATTTTCCACATTCACAAATATAATTTGAATTAAACCAAAAGTCAGTGCTCACCTGGATCTTCTTGACTATTTGTGTCTGTATCAGTTGCTGAAGAAGCTTCTTGAACAGGACTCCTACTTTCTCCACCATCCCAGGAAAGGAGTATCTTTTGTGGATCTAAAGTACTCCTATTGAAGAATGAGTAAATTTAAATTGAATATACATCTATGTGTGACCTTGCGAAAATATCTACTAATGTTAACACTTATATATTATATACAATTTTAAATGGATGCTATGTTCTGACCAAGACCTGGAGTATAAACCAAAATTGTGTTTATCACAATTAAGGTCTAAAATATACATGAGAAATTAGCTGAGAGGCAGAAGGAGAAAGAAGGAGAACCAGACTGGAAATTAAGAGATTTAAATTCTCATATCAGACCTACCACTAACTAGCCATTACCTCAGCTAAGTCATATTTTTCTCATCTGTAAAATAAGGGAGTTTAGAATTGCTAAGGCCCTTTGCATTTTAACAATTCCATGATTCTATAAAAAAGTATTTACTTTAATCGGTTCACAGAAGGAACATTCCGCCATGATGAATGAAGTTGATCCAAATTAATTACTTGTCCTTTCTTATGGGCAAAACCTAATCGACAGTACATGGAAACTGCATTCTGAAAATACAAATATATAGATTATTACTTAGATTAAAACAAAGTACCTATGGGAATGTATGAAGGAAAATATCAGGACAGCTTATAACCGTGGTTCTTAAACATTATCACACCCCACAACTACCCAAGTGTTTTTTTAGTTAACTATATTTCCTCCTAAAAATATTGACACATCTGAGAAGAAAATACAGGAAGACCCAGAAAGTACTCATACAGGCCAGTTTTCCAAAGACTTAACAATTCTGGTCTCTGTTACTCTCTCGGAATATTCCTGATAATCTCAAACCAGCCTCCAATTCATCTAGCCTCATTGACTTACATTAAGAAGAAAAAGTTGACAAAAGACATTAAGCTTTCAATTCAAACAACGAAATAAAATTAAATTTCTATATAAAATTACATACCTTCACTAGTGATAAGTCTATCTCAAGTACATTTGCAAGCTAGGAGGAAAAAGACAAACATAAGAACTCAAAAATAAAAGCTTTATAAGAGGATGCACATTACCATTTAATGAACATTATTATTATAAAATTGAAAAACTATGAAAGTGATGAAGAGAACCAACCAAATTAAAAAAAAAACCCTCAGGTTCAGAAAGGATGTAATACTCATTCCTGCTTCTACAGGGCCTCCCAGGTGACTTCTCACAGCTGCTTAGCTCAGATGGGGGCATCCCTAACCACTCCCAGACCTGGGCAGCTCCTAGCTGCCTGAAATGCTGACATGCCTCCTCTCCTTTCTCTACATAATGACTTCCCTTCCAGGCTCAGCAACTCAGACTTCTCTGGGGAGCCCACCTATTTCTCCCACCATCCCCCATTATTCTCACCATTCTCATTTCTTCCACACTTATCTTGTATTTCCTTACCTGTGCACTTGTTCCCCCTGCCCAACCACATGGAATTTTAAGTTCCCTGATGCTAAAGATCATCTCTTTTTCGTCTGTGAATCCCCAGTAATCAGCACAGCTTAGTGGATAAAGAGCCAGGAAAACATAGGTTCAAGTGTTGCCTCTAACACATACTGGCTGTGTGACCCTGGGCAATTCAGTTCACGACTCAGTGGTATAGAAACTCTCTAAAATCATAAGATGTTAAGAAAGAGCTAACACACAGTAGTAGAGGGAGTTTCGTCATTTAAGAACTCCCTATATCCAAGAAGTTACAGGTCTAGTACCTATCCCTACCTTGGACATAGTAGATATCTAACAAATGTTCCCTGAATTGAACAGGTAAGATATGGTAGAAGCAAAAAGACTGATAGGACTGCATAAAGTAAAGAAGCCAGACAATAAAGGAGGAAAAAGAATAAGGACCCAAAGAAGAGGAATCAATCAGAAGGATATAGTGTAAGTCAAGGAAAAGCAGAAAAGGTAAGCCCCAGCCACCATAACTCACTATCTCTTCCATAGTCTTACCTACACTAGACACCATACCCTGAAGAACCTTCCTCCCTAGGGCCCCGTTGTCCTGATTGATGACTACTACTCCCCTGAATCCATGTTTCATTTCCCCTCCTTCTCTCTGGCCATCTCTTCTATAACCTTGCCAAGAACCTTGTCACCCTCCTTCCACCTCCAACCCTCCTCCTATTCTTAAGACTACTCTGCCATCATTCCTCAATAGGGTATGTAAATCCACTCTCTTCATGATCCCATTCACCATCCCTGTAACCAAAGTACTCCTCCCTAGCCACCACTCCCTGAGTTGTTGTCTCCCCAAAAGGAATATAAGCTCCTTGAGGACAGGGACTATCTTTGCCTCTATATTTGTATCCCCAGCATTTAGTACAGAGTTTGGGACACAGTAAGTGCAAAATAAATGCTTTATTCATTCATTCATTCATTCATTCCCAAAGGGAAGAATTACTAAAAAAAAAATATATATATATTTATTTCATATATTCCCTGACTCAGTTATGATTTTAAAAGGTCCCTGGATATATGAATGTAGTTCTACAGTCTTTTGCTTCCAAATAGTAAGATTATGGAAAGTCATTTGATAAAATGTATAGGATTGACTATGTTTTAAATTTCATATATATATATATATATGTATGTATGTATATGTATATAGATTGTAATGTATAAGAATAATGTATAAGAAATAATTTGAAGAAATGACTTTTTTATGAGCTATAAATGCCTAAAATACATTAGATCTTTAATACTATTGAAAAAACCCAATTTATCCAAATCATCAAGTCAAATTTTGTCTGCTTTATTACAAGTACATTTTATGTTTCTAAGACTTTGTCATAAGAACTGTCACACTTACCTCTGCAACATTAGTGTGCTCATCTATTGAAACAAATATCTTGTAGAGTAGAGTTTCAAAATAATCACCTTGGACCCGGTTCATTACAAAACCTTCAAGCGGTGGTACTTAAAAGGAATATAAATTTCCTTAGGGACATAATTTTAATAAATATGAAACCATAGTTTAAATATCTTACCAGGGATAGAAAGTCAGTCACCTGAATCTGATCTTTGACTTAATTTTTAGTGACTCAGGGAAAGTTTCCAAAAACTGTCAATTAGCAAACACTGTTTCATTACAGTCAAAACCAAATAAAAAACAAGAATAAAAAACAGGGAATCTAAAAGTTGATGGGTCCCCCAAGGTCATACAGTAAAAGCCATACCTAACAAACCTGTCCACTCTGTAGCACACCTAAAGAAGTGATCACATAACTTCTACCTGAGAACCTCTGTTGATGGAGAATACACTAAGCCTACATAAAGCTCTTGAAGTGAGGACCATACTCTCAAGAATTTAAAAGCAAATGCTAAACAGATTACTAGAGGTCATTCATTACCTCTATGAAAATGTTAGCTGAAAAGAAGACAGAGAGAATCAAGGCTGCTCCAGTGGAATTTGGGATTATTCTTTGGTCAACTACTGCATAAGGTCCAAGGCAGGCAGCAGATGCCTTAAGAGAATGAGGTCAATGTCATGCAGAGCAGTGACTAGGTTGGAAGAAAATGTGTTGCACTCTATCTCCCTACTCTTTTCATTTAGTACTCAATCTTTTCTCTTGTTCTTCTTCTCCCTCAATCTACCTCCACTAATCTCCCCGAGTTTCCTTATGTCTCTCTTTCTCCCCCTGTCCTTTAAATAGCCATCACTTAGAATTAAAGCAGCCCATAACTTAGAAACAGTTTGTGTATTTATTTAATTGAGCTTTTGCACTACATGTTCTTAATTTTAAAAGCAGATTTCAAATTTTTCTCTTGGAAAAAAATCCTAAAGCTGATCATAAATTTATTTTTACTTGTATATGCCCCTAAGTTGATTTTTTTTTTTGTGAATCAGGAAAGCTTCCCCATTTCCATCTTACATCTTAGATCCTTAAGTTACAACTAAAATGAATTTTAACTTAAAAGTATAAACTGCCAACAATATGTTGATGTAAAAATGTTTAATATGTATTTATTTGCCAACCAAAAGGTAATTAGCATGCTACAGCACTGCTCATAGGCATACAACAAAAACAATGGCCAATAAAATTTTTAAATAATTGTCAAATAAATTGTAGTGAAAACAAACAAACAAACAAACAACTGCTATGAGTGTACAGAGAGACGAAAGAAAACTTCTGAATGGAAATGTTTTTTGAATAACATATGGCTTAGACTGGGCCTCAAAGGACTGGCAGACTTTGGAAAGGTAGGGAGGAAAGAAAAGGATATGCCAGGTGGGTGGGACAGTAGAAATAAAAGCACAGAGGTAGGAAATTACAAAGTATCTTCAGGAGACAAGGAACAACAACTAATATTTATGTAATGCTTTAAGGTTTACAAAGTGCTTTCCTCAAAACAATCTGCTTGGTTAAAGTGGGGAGTTTAGGAAGTTGAGGAGCTGGAGATGAGACTTGGAAGGAATGTGAAGACCAAAGTATGAAGGATCTTGCATGACAAGTAAAAGAGTTTGGATCACTTTGTATATGCAAAGCCACTGAAGATTTTTGATTGGGGAATATGGCATGGTCAAAATTGTGCTCTAGGAGGTTTTATAATATGAAAATGTGCAAGATGAATTAAGGAGAAATTAAAGGAGAAAGAAACTAGAGACAAGGGAAAACAAGGCTATTTCATGAAAGACTAAATTGGGCTTTTCCTAGTTAATTGTGCTTATGAAGTAGGCTTGGTCAGTGGCAACAGAAACAAAAGAAATTACAATTCTGAGGTTTTATCTCAAATCCCTCAAATATGACAAAATACAAAAATGACATGCTGGGAGGCTGTATGAAGCCAGGCACACTGTTGGTACAACTGTGACTTAGTTCCACTTATGAAAAACAACTTGGAATTTTAGTAGAAAAATCACTAAACTATTAAAGTCCAATGATACTAATCCTGCGGATATGTTCCAAGGAGGTCAAAAACACAAGGAAAGTTCCCCAAAATACAAAAATATTCAGAGACAATTTTGATAGTATCAAAAAACTGAACACAAAGTGAGTGTCCATCAATTAAATACAAAGTGAGTGCCCATCACTGAGACAGCTAAATAAATTAGGATATATGAATGTAATTGGATGTTATTGTGCCATAAGAAAGTGAAATTTTATAAAGAATTCAGAGAAACTCAACAGACAAATGTAAAGCAGAAGCAAACAATTTACACATTAATGAAAAGGAAAACAACAATGAAAGACCTCAATCAATGTAATGTCTAATCTTTTCTCCAAAGGACTAAGAAATAGAAAGCATCTCCCTCCTCTGGACTATAAACAGCTTGTTGTTGTTGTTTAGTCATTTCATTTGTACCTGACTCTTCATGACCCCATTTGGAGTTTTCTTGGCAAAGATACTGGAGTGGTTTGCCATTTCCTTCTCCAGCTCATTTTACAGATGAGGAAATGAGGCAAACAGAGTTAAGTGACTTGTCCAGGGTTACACAGCTAAGTAAGTGTCTGAGGCCAGATTTGATCTCAGGAAAATGAGTCTTCTTAACTTCAGGCCTGGTACTCTACCAACTGAGCCACCTAGCTGCCAGTATAACAGCAAAAAACAGCATACACTGCAGGTATTACCAAAGTGTAGCCTTGTTTTGCTTAAATATATTTATTTATTATAAGGGAGGGTTATTGTCAGGAGGGTGATAAAGAAGAATCACTGAAAAAGGACAATAGTGTTTAAAAATTTTAATTTTTTTTAAATAAAGGAATAGCAGACATGAGTACAAATAATAAAATCACTGTGCTAAATGCCGGGGATATAAATATGGGGGGGGGGGAGAAGATGACTGCAAATTTCCTAGTCTCTGAGACTAGAAAGAATAATATTCACATATATAAAAGGGCTGTAAGGTTTACAAAACACTTTCGTCAAAAGTCCATGTAAAATAAATATTGCTAATATAATTATCTCCATTTTACATGGAGAATAGTGGTATCATTAACTGAAATACCAGTTAAAAATCAGAAGGAGTTAAGAGGGGCAAAATGAGAAGCATTTCTATTTACTTATATAGCACTTAAAGGTTTACAAAGTAAACAAAGGTCATCTCATTTGATCTTCACTACAACACTGTGACATAGATAATATTCTCATTATACAGATGAGGAAACTGATGGTAAGAAAGGTGAAGTGATTTTGTCCACAGTCACACAGCTATTATATATCCTCTCTACCACCTAGCTGCCAGAAGTTCAGTTTTAGATTTAATTTGAATTCTGGTGGAGTAACCACATAGAAGTGTCCAAACATTGAAAAGTATGAAAGTAGAGCTTGGGAGAGAAGTCAAGCTAGGAATGGATTTTAAAATATTCTGCATAAATGTGAGAGTTCAAGTCACTAGAAGACATGTCTTCTAAGACTGAAGACCGAAGCTGCCCACATTTAAGGGGCAAGAAGACCTGACAAAGAAGGCAAAGAAGTAGCAGTATGAACAGCAGGAGGACAGCAGAGCATAAAGCAGCAGAGTTTCAAGGAGGAGCTGCAGCCACAACACGAAAAGCTGCCAAGTCCTAGCGAATGAAGACACAGAACGGTAACTGGATTGGGCAATTATAATGTCCTTAGTGACTTTCAAAATCACAATGTCAGAGACAAAAACCAGACTACAGAGAGTTAAAGAGGGAGTAGGTAGTGAAGGCATAGAAGTTATTATCAGAATCTATTTGTTTAACAATAATTTGGCAGTGAAAGAGAGAAATACAAGCAGTATCCAAGCAGTCAGAAAATATTAATGTACATTCTTTAATATCTAAATTAGGCTCTTGGAGTAGGTATGATTCATTAGGTTTTTCAGATTTTGTTTCACATTTTGAAAGTATTTTCAATATCAACTAACTCCTCCTTAGAATATTTATATCACTAAGCAGGTTCTTCTAATATAAATCATGTCTAAATATATTTTATGAGGTTAAATCTGTTTTATCACCTACATACCACCCAAAACTATAAAGCACATAAGAACAGTTAACAAAGCTTTTGTGTTGTTTTAAGTAGAAAATGAGCGAAGTAAATTCTTTCACTAACAGGGTCAAATCATGTCACAATAGGACAAATTTAACCATGTTCACCACTGCTACTACATACTCTAGAGCAAAGGACAGCTGGAGATTCAGAAATATTCTAAGACTCCTATGTGCTCTCCACAACTAGGACAGAGCTTAAACACAAAATCATTAAAATGGCCCAAGGAAAAATAAGATGACCAAATGAAATAATCATTTAAGAAATCAGGAGAATGAAGTACTTATTGAGAAACTGAGCTATCAGAGTGCCCCCCACATTCCTTAACTATGCAGAACTCAGACGCTACCCACACCACAGACGTGCAGTCCTCCCACATCAATGACAATCTTCTTCCTCAAACAGCATTCTGTGACTCTGCAAAGCACTTCCTATGAAATGTTGTGTTACTGTAAAAAACTATCTGGGCTGGCATCTTATCCATCTATTAGACTGCAAGCTTCTTACGAGTAAGGACCATCTCCTATATAAATAGTTATCTCCCTTGGTGCCTAATACATTTTTCTGCAGACAGTATCCACTACAGACACTTAATAAATGCTGTAACATATCACATTAATAGTACATACATACCTGCAATACAACTGTCGTCAGATATGGGCACATCAAGATAAATAAATCCTTTGTTATATAAACCTACAGAAACAAGAATACATTGTTTTAGTTTTGCAAAACTAAATTAAAATAAGTATTTTCTGTTCTTTTCTTTACTCCCTCCAACCCCCTTCCCCAAAAGACTAAAAATATTTTGCAGGACAGCAGACATTTTGCACTCAATTTTTTTAAACATAAGTTTAAAATGTGTTCAATATTTTTCATTTTGTGTATTTATGGCACTACTAACACTTTCTACACACAACTGTAATGGGTTTTTTAAGATTTAGTTATCGATAGCTTAGAAGGTAAAAGGGATTTAACACTAACGAAGAGACACAGACAACCAAAAAAGCAAAGGAGCTAGTGAAAATTTTGGCAGGCTGAAAGGAAAACTAAGACGCTCTCTGCCTGGGTACAGAAGCAAAGAGAAGGCTGAGAGCACGGGGCGTGAATTCTGCCGGCCCACTGAGGAGCCCACTAAAACGATGCTCATTTAGCTTGGAGACACTAGTTAAATTCCTTCTCTCTCTCTTCATTCAAACGTAATCCTACCCTTCCAAACCTCTACTACAAACACACAACTACAGGTTATATAAATTCTTTCACGTCCACTTCTCATATATTAAAGTCCATATCTGGCTATTACAACATGCCTTGCACGCTAGCTTAAACCAGAGCTTTCCTGGCTTGTAAGACCCACAAGAACCACAGGCTCGGAGGACCGCGGGTTTAGCGCTGGAAGAGACCTTGGAAGCCGCCGAGTCTAGCACCCTCACTTTGCAGAAGAAATTAAGACAAAATTTGCGGATGAAATGAAAATAATGTGCAGAAATTAAGGACCAGCAATGTTAAATGAATTGCCTGGGTCACGTAGCTAGTAGATGTCTGAGGCAAGACTTGAGTTCAGGTCTTCTTGACTGTAAGCCCAGTTGTTCTACCTACCATGGGAATACGCTTGCAAAATTTTCTTAGTATTTAACAAATACTTCTTCATTTTGACAAACTACAAATAAAAATGTGTTACTATCTTCCCCATGTTGAATCTCAAAATTAAAAAGCTAAAGGGAAAAAAATTACTTTTTGTTCCTTTAAATGAGGCTTTTCTTTCATTGTCTAGGTTTCTAATGATATGAGGCTCGCTCCTCTTAACAATTTATAATAGCAGGTAGAATAGCTTAAAACTCATCTCTAACTATTCCTCCAAATCCTCCAAACACACTGTCCCTTCTCTGAATTTCAAGGGTATCTATAGCCAATACTTTATTACTTAGCACTAACCCTAACCAATTCATGGTGCCATTAATTGTTCTCTATTTGTTAAATACATGTTTCTCTCCTTTCCCCAACTAAACTATCTGAAGGCAGGAACTATCTTATACCTAAAATCACAGGCTCACAGTTTTAGAGTTAGAAGGGACTTTAAAAGTCATCTAATCTAACTCTCTCTTTTTATAGATGAAGAAATAGGCACAAAGAGAGTTTAAGTAATTTGCCCAAAGTTACACACCAGATAATTTTCTGAATATGTTCAAAATTAGATAAATCTCTCTCATGCTGTTTTAAGTTTCTAGTCCACTTATCAATTAGTGTGGTTGTGCTGGGAAACAATGAACACTTGATATGTTTGACTGTATGTTTCCATAGACAACGTCTTAAGAAACAGGAGTTTCATCTACATTAATCAGGGAATAAATGTTATTAAACCTTTCAATGGCTTAAATACAAGTTCATATGTTGCCTAAAGGAATGTTTTAATAACCACTTACTATGTACTACATTGTAGTCTAGAGATCCAGACAGCTGAGGACCTGAATCGATGATCTTATCAATAGCACATTTCTCAGACAAAGTGCATATCTGAAGAAAATAAAATATTTTTCATTAAGCTTTGTCCAAATTGAATCTGTAAGTCTCTTAAAAACTGTTAAAATGTTAAACTAAAGCTGTAAGGGTTATAAAATTATGAATTTATTACTTTTTTAAAATACTTCGCTCCATTGGTTGAGCGTCCTATAAATTTCACCCCAGGACATACAAAATTGTGTACATTGCTATCCATTTGGCTACCAGAACTAGAGCCTTAAGAACAAGGATTTCAAGTGAGCTTGCTATACGACCTAAAAAGATACTTAGCTGTTTTCTGTCTGTTAATGACTGTCCAGTATTTACTCTGAGACTTTTAGTTTTATTTTCCTGGAGAAAAATAGTATGTTATTAGAACCACCACAGCTAAAGAGTTTTTTCACAATGCCTTAATGTAGCATGGAAGTGATCCGGGAGCTCAAAGATTACGACAGTAGAATTCAGTCTCTCGTGGTGCATCTAAGCTGGAAAGACACTGAGACTAGATGACAGACCATGCCCATCAAACAAGGAGCAGCCCAGCTAAGCTCGGTGCAGAAGCCTGATGAATTTTGGCACCCCAGGAAGACCATCTATTAAGAATAAAGTGTTTCATCCAGAAAAAAAACTATGGAGTCTATTTACAGATCGAAGCATACTATTTTCTCTTTTTTTTTCTTTCTCATGGTTTTCCCTTTTGTTCTGACAACATGACTAATGTGGAAATATGTGGAATTTAATTGTACATGTATAGCCTATGTCAGATTTCAGGCAATCTGGGGGAGGGAGGAGGGAAGGGAAGGAGAAAATTTTAGAACTCAATATCTCATAAAAGTGAATGTTGAAAACTAAAAATAAATTAATTGATTTTTAGAAAAAGAAGTGTTTGAAATTTTTTTGAAGTATTAAAATTATAACAAAGTATAGAAATATATTTTTGTAGCAAATTCAAAACTAATCTAACCAAAAATTCTATAGGGAACTCAGAATAAAATAAATATCTAAAATTACCTTTATATCATCTTCTGTGATGTAACCAGCCTGAACCACCCACCATGCCTCTATAGTAATTTCCACAGGCTTCACAGGCAGAAGATCACGAGCAGTTTTCCTTCTGAAAAATTTCTGCAGTGGCACAGTCCATTTGAGATAACATTTAACATGTATAGTCCTCCAAAAAATTATGACTTTCCCTTACGCCAAAAGAAAATATCTTATTCTTCCTTTAAGAGAACACTAGAGGCTGAATAAACATTGATTTCAAAATATGCTTTAAAAGGTACAATAAGTACTCTGGATAGACAACATGAAGTGGATAGAGGGCCAAATTTAGTGGCAAGAAGCCCTGGGTTCCAGTCTCAGCACTAATACATAACAGCTATCTGGCCATGGGCCAGCTGCTTCAGTACGCAAAGACAAACTCATTAAGAAGAGACATCCAACCCCAAGTGGCTTGAGTGGAAAGAGTTTCTAAATCAGGATTACCCTATGTGGATAAAATCATAAGTCAGGGGCAGGGAGGTATTCAGAATTATTTATGTATCCATGTATGCAGGTATGCACATATGCATGCAAGTATGTTTGGGTTGTGTATATCACAAGTATTTTGAAAAGGAAAATGCATTCATCTCCTAGGGTTCTCACTAACTCCTACTGATCCATTCCAATTCAAAAAATTTAAGTGAATACATACAAATTTAGGTAAAAACTGTTTGAAAAGGTATAGTCACTTCTTCAATGTAGTTAATATTAAGAATGGGGAGAAGAGATAAATTAAGAAATAAAAAAATGCAAATATCCAAACACTTTCTTATTTAAACATTTCTACGTAAAATCTTGTTTTTCAGCACACTAACGTGTAAGAAATTAGTTGCAGGGAATAAATTAGATTTTTTGCATAAACATATATTTTGAAAGACTTTAATTTGATAAAAGAAACTGCAATCTATGATCCTACCACTACAAAAATACCCATATTAAACAGAATTGTTTGGTAAGAGAGTGGTTCTTGGACAGAAAAAAAGAAAAAAAACTTACTTTTGATGACCTACACTGATTCATAAGGTCAATATATTGATTTCTTCCTATGCCAAGAAGCCTTAGACCTGAAACAAAAAAACTTTGAATTATACATTCCTTGTATACTTTTAATATTAATATATACTTTAAATGATTCTTACTAACTTATTCTCAGCTTTTATTGTTCCTTGAAAACTTAGTTGAATATTAAGTCCTAAAATCAAGAATAATTAGCAAGAAATACTTTGAAGTGAAGAATTAAAGATATTTCATAACAACCATAACAACAAGCTGTGATTACTGAATATTTCTCTGAATGAGATAAAATTTAAAAAGCAGAAAATCTCTTAATTTCAAGAGAAGTAAGAGAGAAAAATTACAGCTTTCAAAGAAAACCTCCAACTTTTGAATGGGGTTTTAGTTTAAGCCAGTTGTCTAGAACTTGGAATTCATTTGCCTATAAAAACAGAGGTTAGGTCCCAGGCCAGTCTGTGAAAGCCTACGTACCTGAAGTATAGCACTCTCCTAATACTAACAGTACTTCATGGTGCAGTTGAAATAGTTGTGTGAACTTGGACAAGTCACTTAACCTCTCTGAGCCTCAGTTTCCTCATCTGTAAAATAGGGATAATAATACTCACACTACCTACCTCAAGAGTTATTGTGAGGATCACACAAGATAAAGGGTTTGGTAAATCCTAAAGTGCCATATAAATATAAGTTATCACTTATAATTATCATCATGATTCATCTCGTTCTCATCTTTTACAATGGAATTCAGAGAGATATGAAACAAGCCACTGGTCTGCTATTATTCTTTCACAGTTTTTGTTCCATGACCTATTACACAAGTGGACAAAATAACCATCTCTTGTAACTGAATAAAGGTATTAGGATATATAAATTCATCTTTGGGTTCACTGAAAGCATCTTTGGGACAACTCTAATAGGAGACAGGAAGATGGGGATAACATGTACCTCATTTCATTCCTATTTCGTCTTGATTTCTTCCACTAGATCTCTATATTTTGAAAATTTTCCATTCCTTGTAGCTTGGAGATTATGAGTATTTGGTACAGTGATGTCTACTAAAAAATACCGTTCATAAATTTTTGTTGGACCATGTAAGGAACGTGAATCTTAGTGTGTGTAAAGTGGGTTTTCTTCCCAGGATCCATAGCCATAACAATCTCTACCTCCCAGATGTTAGATATGAGTTCTCACGATGATGGTTCAAAACAGTTTCTACTGCACAGTTGCGGTAGATATAGGGGTGAAGTGATGTAAAATTATGAGGCTATTGCTGGCAATATGCCTTCTTTGTCTGTTGCCCTATAAAGCAAGTGGGCACTGGTCAATGACTGGGGACCCCCAAAGGAGTGAATGTGCAGGCTGAATGCTGTGCATGCCTTGATCGGCCCCCATCAAGGCTTGGAAGGGGGAATCTGTGTGTTTGCCTCAACAGGCCCCCACTGAGGCTTGAGGGGATTTAGAGGAGTGCGCAAGTTGTGCTGATCTCGATTGACCCCATCAAGACAAGGAGTAGTTGCCCCCCCCCTTCACACTGGCCCCTTCGAGAAGAATTGTTAGGGAATGCTGTAGTAGTTGGAGCTCCCATTATCAGCAAACTCCCTTTGAGAATACTAGACTGGAATAAAGTAAGCTTATTTAACCCCTTATTATGACTCCATTCTTGTCTTCCTATCTGACTGGATCAAAAGCAAACCTGCTGCTGAGAGAGGTGCTAGAAGCCCTCCTGTGTCTCCTTCCTAAGAAATGGCATAGTCAGTGTGTTTACTTGTCCAACAGACCATGCTAACTGTGGGGAAAAGTTTTGTCTGTGATAATCACAATCATCACAATCATCATCATCATCATCATCATCATTTTATTAAGTTGGGAATAAAGTAACCTGGGTTCTAGGTGACCTGGGTTCTGCTCTTGGGTCTATCATTAATTATCTGTTAAATCTTGGGCAAATCTAATCTTTTAGAGAGTTCATTCTAATCACAGCAAAATGAGAGCAACAGACTAGTTGACCTTAAAATCCCTTCTAATACTAGAAAAAGTAACCACAAGGTGTTAAGAATATTTCTATGGAAAGTACCTCTGTCTTGATTCTATCCCTGCCCCCCTCCCCCCCCAAGGACCTTGCTGCATCAAATACTCCCTATTCTTTTCATCTTCAGTCTCTGCTCTTCCTATCCTGAACCTTTTCCCACTGACAAAAAAACTACTCATCTCCCCTATCCTAAAAACAAATAAAATTCTTCCCCTCAACCAGGAGACCCTCAAATTTTCATTCTTATCTCTCCCTTCACTGCTAAACTTTTGAAAACAAGTAATGTTCACTTGTTGCTTACACTTCCTCACTATTCCATTTATCTCCATCTAAAGTAGGAGTTCTTACCTTGGGGCCCACGGACCCTAAAGGGGTCTGTGCACTGATTTTTTAGGGGGGGAAGGGTGTCTGTGGACTTGGATCAAAAGTTATATTTTTATTTCATTATAGTTGGTTTCCTCTGAAAATCTTATGCCTTTTATTTTATGCATTTAAAAACATTATTCTGTACTACTATGCTATAAGAAATGATGAGCAGCTAAATCACTACTGATTAGAGAAACGCAAATCAAAACAACTCTGAGGTACCACATCACACCTATCAGACTGGCTAACATGACAAAACAGGAAAATTATAAACGTTGGAGAAGATGTGGGAAACTTGGAACACTAGTGCATTGTTGGTGGAGTTGTGAACTTATCCAACCATCAATTGGGGAATGGCTGAATAAGTTGTGGTATATGAATGTAATGGAATACTGTTGTGCTACAAGAAATGATGAGCAGGGGGACTTCAGAAAAACCTGGAAAGACTTATATGAACTGATGCAGAGTAAAGTGAGCAGAACCAGGAGAACACTGTACACAGTAACAGACACATTACGCGATAACTAATTTTCATAGACTTGGCTCTTTTGAGCAATGCAAGGATCTAAGACAACTCCAAAACACTCATGATGGAAAACGCTATCCACATCCAGAGAAAGAACTATGGAGTCGAATGTAGACTGAAGCATTCTATTTGATCTCTCTTCTTCTTTTGTTGTTTTGTTTTGTTTCCTCTTTCTCATGGTTCCTCCCATTGGTTCTAATACTTCTTTACAATATGACTAATGAGAAAATGTCTAATATGAATGTATATGTAGAGCCTATATCAGAATGCACATCATCTTGGGGAGGGGGAAAGGGAGGGAGTTCTTCTTCCATGAACCCTTGCTTGATTTCCAGCTAAAAGCTCTGCAGCTTCAAGTTTTCTGACAGCACTTTTTTCTGCATCTCTTCTGTGTCCCAGACTAATGGAACTGTCATTATTTTCCTCAGAATATCACAAGGTCCTTGAGAGCAAAGCATTGTGTTTATCTTCATATTCTCATCACTTATTAAAGTGCCTTGCATATAGTGGTTGTTTAATAAAAGTTTGCTGAACTGAACTAAAAGATAAGCATATTCAGATCACATGTGAAGCTCAGTGCTGTGTTCAGTTATAGTAACCACATCTTAGATAGGGCAAAGATAAGCTGGAAAATGTCCAGAGGAGAGTGGGTAGTAAGGGAATGCTATATAAGGATCAACTGAAGACTAGGAATGTTTAGTTTTAGAGGAAAGAAAAAGAAGATTGAGGGGAGACATGACAGACAGGATAGATACCTGAAGGGTTGGCACTTAGAAGATTTACATTTATTCTGTTTCGTCCCCAAAGGCAAAACTAGAACAAAGTGGCAAATTTATGACTCATATAAGGAAAATCTGCTAACAATCAGAACTAGCCAAAAGTAGAATGGGCTACCTTATAAGAAAAGCCAGGTATGTTTTAAAGGGAGTTCGTGGGACCCAGCTATACTACTACCACTAACCTACTGACCCCACGCTGCCCCTCCCCCAACCACCCCAAAAGAAGAACAAGAAGATGGACAACTAACCAAGCAAGGGAGGAATCTGATGCAACACCACCTACTTCCTACCCCCCACTCCAACTCCAGGAAAGCAAGCAAGAGTCACTAAAGTCTTACACCCGTCGCCCTTGGCTGGCAACAATAACCTTGACATTATTAGCTTTACTTTTTATCTATCACTCACTATGACCCCTTTAGCTAACAATTTCACACCAGAGGTTTCTCTGGCCCTATCTCTGGGTGAAGCAATGTCTGGCTACCTAGGAGAAAACCATCCCCAACGCTCACTTTCTATTCTTTTACCCCTATCTTCCTCAAACTTAAGCCCACAACCACCTCTAATCTCTTTCATTGTGCCCTCTGGAACCGTCATTCCATAGTGAACAAATTTCCTTTCTTCCCAGACCTTTCTCTCATGCTCCTTCCCTTTGTAGCAATCACTGAGACCTGGCTCCACGCCACCCCAGTTACACTAAATCCCTAACCCTCTTCTCTACCATTGGCTGTACTGCACCTTCACCCACACCTCTGGACACACTTGTACTGGAAGGGTAGCCAGAAAACAGTATACCTCACTGGCAATTCCAGAAACACCATCACTCAGGAACCTCTCCTCCCTTTTAGATTCACAATCTAAATTTATGTCTATCCAGATTATGGGTGATCTTCTAATCCTCAAGTCCTTCTTCCTCCTTTCTCATTGTGTTTAGCATCTGGCTCTATCTTCCCCAGAAAATTACAACCTGAATAATAATCATCATCATCATCATATTTCACACACATACACAATTCCACTGTTAATCACCTCCCTTCCTAGATACTCTCTCATCCTATTTTTTTCTCAGTATTCTTTGTTGGATTACCACCCAGATCATGCCCCTAACTGTGGGTGCTCTCCCTAAGACTCTTCTCTAGGCCTTTTTCCTCTAAATTTTCTTTCCTGGTGACCTCATCAGCTCCCATGGGTTTAATTATCACCTCTATGCAGATGATTCAGAACTATAAATCCAGCCACAGTCTCTCTTCAAGATAAACATCACGAGCTTTTTCAATTAGTTCCCATAGGAGAGGAATTCCAATCCATTCACTATCTCGGCAGTCCTTCTCCAGACATAGTCTAGCTTAGGAGTGGTGAACCTGTGGCCTCAAGGCCACATATGGCCTTCTGGGTCCCTGGGTGAGGCCTTTTGACTGAGTCCAAGTTTTACCTTTTATTAAAGGGATTTGTTCTGCAAAGTTTGGATTCAGTCAAAGGGCCACACTTGAGGACCTATGGGGCAACATGTGACCTCAAGGCCACAGGTTCCCCACCTCTGAGTCTAACTTATCAATGTCCTGCCTATACTGTGAAATCCAAGACTGACCACAATACTCTAGATGTAGTCTGATCAAGATAAGAATAGAGCAGAACCTTACTTCAGGACATTATGCCTCTCTTAATATAGCCTAATATCAAATTAGCTTTTTGGGTTGTCATATTATACTGCTAACTCATCTTGAAACTGTAAACTAATAAATTCCCCATATCTTTTCACACGAAGAAATGCCTAGCCATTCTCCCATCTTGTACTTATGAAGTTGATTTTTTGGACCCACATTATGACTTTACATTTACCGCTGTTATATTTCATCTTTTTAGGTTTGGTCTATCACTGTAATTTGGTCTATTCATCTGTTAAGATCATTTTGGATATTTTGGGTATCATTTGGATATCATCCAATCTGCTAACCACCCAAGTCTAGTTTTGTGTTATCTGCAATATAAGCATATTATCTTTGCCCAACTCACTAATAAAAATGCTGAACATTATAGAGTCAAGAGACAGATTCCTGGGGTGCTCCACCAGAAAGCTTTCTCCAGGTTGAAACTGACCCATTAATACCTACTCTTCGAGTCCAGTCATTCAATCATTTACAAATCTAATTAAGTTGAATTAACTTGATATCATCTATCCTTCATCTCTCCATCTGGGGTATAATGACAGAATGAGAGACTGTAAAATGCTTTTCTGGAATCGGGATAAAGCCTTCCCGTAGCATTCCCTCAATTTACCAGTCTAATAAGTTCCCTATACAAGCCCTTTCTTTTCTTTTTGAAGTCCTATTTGTCACTGCTTTCTTTTCTATTGCCAAGGATTAAAAGTTTTCCTCATTTGTGGATGACTAATTCCTTTTTTGCATTCATATCTCAGAGAGTAAGTACAAAAATAAGGAAATTCATTTACATTTTAGATGAAAAGCTGATTCACACTAGCTTGGACTAGCATGGGAACTTGATGGCAGTGACTATGTGGGATAAAGGGGGGAGGGAGAGAGACATACAGCTGCTGCCAAGATAAAGAAGAGAAATGACCCTACTCCCAGTCCTAGTCAGGGTAGAATTCCAGAGAAAGAGAAACATTCCCAATTACTGTGTTCCATTTCTCATCATGGAGAGATGGCACACCTGCCTACACTGCAGTCTCGAGCACTTAATTCCCAAAACACCACAATCATCCAGAGCAAGAGTTTCAAAGCAGAGCACATATTCCCTTATTGCCACATACCAGGCACATCAACAAAGCTGCCTTTGAAATATTTCTTAAACTGTCACATTTCCTTCTCAGGACATATCACAGATTTCCCATTAAAATGTTTTAAACGTTAGCCTACTAATACCTACTTAAAATATAATGTAATGAAATCATACTACTATTAATATTACTAGTGTTCCCTTATTCTAAATTCCCCTTTTGTATTCAGGGCACCACCATCCTTCTAGTCATCCAAGTTCACCAAACTTCAGCATCATCCTTGACTATTTACTCACCTTTACCTGAGTCTTCCCCTATCAAATCAGTTGCCAAGTCTTGTCAATTCAAAGTCACATCTCTAGCACATCTCTCAATTTACACAGCTTCCACACTAATTCAAACACTCATCACCTCTCACTTCAACAACTGCAACAGTTGCCTAATTGATCTGCTTCTTGCCTCTCTCTTCTACAATCCATTCCCCAGTTTGATGTACTAAAAGCACAGATCTGACCATTTCAATTCCATAATAAAGAAGTCTCCCCCACATGGACTCAATATTTCTATGAAACTGGCCTACTTACTATGCCACATCTCTGATATTCCACCTCCCACCTCCAGGCCCTTGCACAGACTGTCCTCTGTCCACTGCCTGTAATGCTCTCTCTTCATCTGTCTTTAGAATTACACTTTCCTTTCATGGCTCAGCTTAAATGCTACCTCTTATACAAGGTCTTTCTGGATTGCCCCAGTTGTTAATATTCTACCTCTTCCCAAAAATTACTCCATTTATTTTGTATTTACTTTGCATTTACTTACTAGTCTTCATGCTTCCTCTGAGAAGACTGAAACTCTTTGAGGGCAGGGATGGTTTTGTTTTTGTCTTTAATGCCTAAGTTCTTAGCACTGCCTGGCACAGAACAGGCATTTGGTAATTATTTGTTAAACTGAATTCTAGCGTTATTAGTACAATATAATGTTAGTGCTGTTGTTCACCTACAGTACGGATTTGTGTTTAGGTCTTCAATTCAATTCAGTAGTCATTTATTAAGTACTTACTTGAATATAGTGAATTGTGCCAGGCACAAAAAGTTCAGGTAAAAAAGTCCCTGTTCTCATGGCACTTAAGGTTTTGTAGATAACTATGGCATGTAGACAAATAGGTATTTATAACACATGATAACCAAGAATCTTGCATTTATTTATCTCTAGACATTATATATACTTAGACATGTAAAAATGCATGCAAGAATAATTTGTATATACTGCACTTAGCAGAGCCTGGCACATAGCAGGCACTTAATGTTTACTGATTGACTGATTGTGTGTAACCCTCTAATATAATGTGAACTCCTTGTAGACAAGACCTATTTCTATCTATATTCCTAACACCTAACACACTCCTTTAAACATAGTAGAAAATTAATAATGTTTGCTGAATTGAAGAACTAAACACAGTATCTGATGGGAGACTAAGATTTCACAAAACATTTCACAAAGACTAATGCTTCCAGAGAAACGCAACTAGGATGGTGTGGGGACTGGATAGGTATGGAGTCCGTGTTCTATGAATCAACTGAGGGAATAGGGGATATTCACCTCAGAAAACACATACAGGGGGCACAATTGCTTTCTTAAAATATCTGAAAGGTCTACACTTGTTCTGGCCCCACGGTACAGAACAAGGTACAACTGGAGAAGCAGAATCACAGAATTTAAAAGTCAGAAGGGACCTCAGTGACCACACAGTCCAACCCATACAGGAAACAATCGACTATCTCTGACAAGACAGATTTAGAGCGATACATGGAGGGAAATCCAAACAATTAGGACTCGAATGAGCTGCTTTAGGAGAAAAGACTTCTCACTATTGGAGATTTTCAAGGAGAAGCTGGACGACCACTTTCTGGCAATGTCGTAAGAAAGATTATTGGGTAGGTATGGGTTCGACTAAATGACTCCTGAGGAAAATCCTTTTGATTCTGTTACCTAAAATCCTCTGCCTCCTTCTAATCCTCTATTTATCTTTACCATGTTTGTCTAGATTTGTGAATCTTCTTTAGGGAGTGACTTTTTTTGATACAAAGCATATATAAATGATATTTTCAGATTCTCGACCAATGGAAACCAGTTTTATAAATTATCTCTCCCTTCAGACAAAATCTAATATTTTACTTTGTGTGCTTTTGAACTTAGGTAAAAAGTTTTCCCTAGAAACAGTAAACAATATCTTAATTTTTATTTGTATTCTTAAAAAAACAAGAATTACCATGCCTTTTTAAAATAATTAAGAAAGAATCTGAAATCCAATGTTAAGTTTCATTTTATATACATATTTTTTTCTAAATGGACTTATTTCAACATTCCCCCTTAATGAAAATGTAGTTTTACTTTTAAATTATATTAGTAAAACCATAACAACAGAAACTGGATTAATTATATGTTATTACAAAATGAATCATAGTTTTTCTCACTGATTATATGTCCTTTTTAAAAAAAAAGAAAAACCTTGCTTATATTTTGTTTTTGTGTCAGTAGATGGAAAGTCTATCCAAAACACAGATAGTCGCTTCTCCTTGCAAATGTATTAGTCAAATTTTTTTAAAAAGACCCTCATTCAATACACAACACAATTATTTCACCTCATTTATTTAACAGTTAGAAATTTAAAGCAAAATATTTAAATAAAGAATCACATCTATTCAATTTCTAAATTATCAGCACTTAACCCATTTATATACTGTTCTTTCAGCTAATTGTTAAAGAATTTCTCATGTCACTCTATAGCACTAGAAATTTAGGGGTTCCCCAACAACTAGGCACAATGCCTAGAACCTCATAGGGTCATAAAAAACGTTTCCTAGATTAAATGAAACACTGATAAAATAAGAAACGCTAATCCCAAAATGGCTTTTTACTTATTCTGGAGATCATTCTTTTGGCTGATTCTCAAACTACTCTAAATTCACTAAATATTAAAAGGGACACTAAGCTCAAATAAAATGTTCTTGGAAGATGAGTCTATTTGTACAGGTAAAACAGAATCAGCATGTTATACACTTACAGAACTCCCAAGAACATAATATATTTTATGTGATATAGACATATCTAGATATAGAAATATATAGATAAATGTATCACTACTTGATAGCTATCACACTCTTAGAAAAAAGAAATCAAGAGAGTTACACTATATCCTGACAATACATCAAAATTAGATTTTTAAAAAACACATAAATAAACAACCCAATCTAATGGTCTCACTAATGCCATTCAAACTTCCAGAAAAAAGCAGATTCCTTCTAGAAATAAATAATTATTTCCCCTTTCATCCAGTCTAATTTCTCTTTTTCTTTGGTGATTAGATGAAGTACCGAACCTCAAAGGAACCAATTAATACAATTCACACATATCCTATTATTATGAAAAATCAATACCGCCAACTGGTCTACAATGTTTCAAATTAAACAAATAAAGTAATTCAAGATAGTGTCATAAAAGATACATACATCGGTGCATTACTTTGTTGAACATAATTGAATGAATAATACTCACAGTCAGCAGCAGTAAAATTGGGCAATGAATCATAGCTTTTTTCACTGTTCATTATGTCCTTTTAAAAAGAAAACAATATATTCTATAAAGATTTTCAGGTAACTTTGCTTAGGCAAATAACATGATTTTTAATGTACATTATTTTTGGTTATGGTACAAAAAAATTGTTACAAGTGTAACATCATAGTTTAGTAATCTATAGCATATGACACCCAGTCCCAATTCAAAATATTAAGAAATGTGACTTGGGGCAGCTAGGTGGCGCAGTGGATAGAGCACTGGCCCTGAAGTCAGAAGAACCTGAGTTCAAATCCGGCCTCAGACCAAACACTTGACACTCACTAGCTATGTGACCCTGGGCAAGTCACTTAACCCCAATTGCCTAAAAAAAGAAAAAAAGAAAAAAAAAAAGAAATGTGACTTTCTCCCATTTTATGAGTTCCAAACAGTTATATTTCCTCTGCTCTGTGGAGACAGTAGATGAAATAACTAGCAAAAAATTAAGCTCAAGACCCCAGCCCCTTCAATTATCATACATCCAAATCTAGAGTTCTTCCATAAGAGAAAATTAAACAATGGCCCCTCTAATGAAAAGCCCAGTACACCAGTCAGCAGCAGACCAGAGAACAGGGGTTAACAGATGTTAGCCAAGAACTGAGTCCTTCAATGTTCTCTGTTCTTTTATGTGTAAGTCAAAAATGGGTTGATATCAACATCCTAAATCAGCCAACTATAAAAAGTTTCCCCATTATTTAGTTACCTGGATAAATGTGGAAGTAAGACCCATTTCCTATATAGTAGCTACAAACCAAAGGAGCCAATAGTTTAGTGAACATTCTGCAATGGAAAAAATAGAATTGGGCTGGTTTGGGATAACTGATCTAAAGTTTCTTTGGTCCAAAGGTACTATCAAATAGCAATTATTAAGACAAAGGATTAAGAATGAAGACCCCAAAAAGCATGTTTCTTTATTCTTCCATTGATTTAGTGCAATGTATTGGGTTATTTAAACCATGTACATAGTCAGCAATTAGATAGTTATCTACTTTATTAAGGTTCATTAACCTTAACATTTAAAAATTACTAAGAACCTCAAATATTAAGAAATTACAGTTTAAAACACTCAATTTTAGAAGCAAAAAAAAAATCTTACAACTCATTTTGTTTAACTGATTAACAAATAATTACAATGGCACAAAAGAGGCATAAGTGTGCATGTGCACACATGTGCAAAGACTAGCATCATCCACAATTCTGTCTTTGACTTGTGGTTGACAAGAAGTCTTTCCTATATAAGAGTTTATCCATTCTTAATTATAACTACAACGCTGAAACTCACCTCCATAATTCCAGTATAATAAGAAAATGGTGTTATCCTCAAGCCCTTTACCATAATATCTGATAAATGGTAGGGGTACAACATGAGATGTTCTCGACTGTATTTTAACAATTCCTCATAGTATTTGCGTTCATCCTTCTTGATATGCTTAACTGGTTAAAAGAAGTAAAACAAATCAGTAATTCTTCACTGTTGGTGCTTCTTATTATTTAAATCTGCACATCAATAATAGAAAATAAAATTCAAACAATAAAAGAATAAAACAGAAAACTAGAAAAAATGGGAGGAACCAAATGAGAAAACAAAATTGCAGAGACAGAAATAATGGAGAAATGTTTTCCCTTTTCATCTAAGAAAACCAAAGGAATTTTCATGATACTACAAGAAACAATTCTTCAGAAAAAATAACTAAAATAACAAAGTTTTTCTGTACCTGAAGTCACTGAACTTTGGAATAAGACTTTATTTTATCTAGGCTCAGAAGAGTAATTTGATAGGACATGACTCCAAAAAGCTAAATAAGGCAAGGCTGCATTAGATGTGTTGTATAATATTAATTAATGCCATTTTTTTTCTTGCAAAAGCTGCTACATTTAAACCAGCAGAAAACTGAAAGATAGCTAAACTAAATGCCAACTTAGAGCAGAAACAAGTAAGTAATAGCCTGGGTTTTTTAATTTATGCGGCCTTCAGACCCTGACAGGATACTTTTAAAAGCAAGTTAACTCTGAAATGCCATGCCTGAAACAACCATTAAAAAATTTAGAGAGAAGAAAATAGCCAATAATAAAATAAAATGATAAATCTATCATTTCAGGATTTAAAGTAAATATAAGAAAAACCACAAGAAACTAGGAACATTATGAATATAATATCTAAACACTGTTTCTAGTTATTATAAAAAGTACTTGTCATTAAAGTTATATATCTGAAACAGTTACTAAGGTAATAACTGTCATCTAGAAGGTAAAAATAATAAAAATTCGTGTACTCCTGACCTACAAAACAAAGAGGGAAAGATTTGAATTGAGAGATTAAGTCATTACTAGTAACCTAAACAGTGTTCTACTGTAATTTTCAGTGAAATCACAAAGAAAATATGGTAGCCATTAATGTACTACATTTGAGTTACTTTTTTTAATTGATAAGCTTATATGGGACAATGCAAATATGTGTGTGTGTGTGTGTGTGTGTGTCTATTAATTTCCATGATGCAAAGTTTTCAGTGAGGTTTTGGTTTGTTTTTTTAATCTGGAACTATGATTTCACTGGTTTAGTAACTTCTGGGAGAGAAATTCCCTCTACCAGTGCAGATCAGCACAGCAACCACATGGTCTGAAAGAGTTGCTTGGGGCACAGAAAATAACTCGTCCAGGGTCAGAAATAGTTCTGAAATCAGGTCTTCCCAATAGTTAGGCTGGCTTTCTATCAACTACCTCATGCTGCCTGTAACATAAAGTACACACTGAAAAACTGTGGAAAATTGATTCAAATTAAAAATCAGTATCAGTACTATGCATCTGAACAACAAAATATCTACTTACCTAAGTTACTTCTGTATCGTAACTGATTTCTGATACTATAGAGCACAACTTGCTTTTCATATTCTCTCTGTGAATTTCCAAGACCCTAGAAAATAATGATACAAATTTAAAGTATTTTCAAAAATATGAGTATGCAAATTTAAACTTCTCAAAATTCATATCTAATTTCATTTTATCTCATTTAACTTCTAACACTAGAAATAAAGAAGACTTTTTGTCGCTATTATTCAATCGTTTCAGTCATGTCTGACTCTCTGTGACCTCATTTGAGGTTTTCTTGGCAAAGATACTTTGGTGGTTTGCCTTTTTTTCTCTAGTTCATTTTACAGATGAGAAAACTGAGGTAAACAGAGTTAACGACTTGTCCAGGGTCACACAGCTAGTAAGTATCTGCGGTTGGATGCTAATTCAAGTCTTCTTGACTCCAGACCCAGCGCTCTATCTGGTGTACCACTCAGCTGCCAACTTTTAACACACACACACACACACACACACACACACACACACACACACACACACGGAGAGAGAAAACACCTTCCTAGAACACTATCTTCTAAAACATATAATACAGTATTAAGACAGTTCTGTCTTATATTTCAAGGTTTGTTTACTAGAAATATCCAAAGTATCTCATTTTAATATTCACCTAAAATACAGTGGCTTAGAATAAACAAGCAGACAGTCTGATGGTAAGAATAGTATATTTAACAGAGAATTTGCTTTTATTTTAAAAGAACTAATCTCCTACTAATTTGACTTAATATGAAAAAGTCTTTATGTATATACATATATAATACAAAATATAATTTTTAATTTTATCTTTAGTTCAGTTAAGGTAATCATGGATATGCACCTATAAAAAGGATCAACAATTTGCTTTGGACTAAGAACTAGTAATAAATAGTCTGGAGGGAGCTGGAGGGCAGGGGAAGCAGTATATTGCCAAAGAACAAACATAAGTTCCCAAGTTTTAGTTCATACAGCCCAAGTCCCAAACTCTACTAATAACTCACACATTATCATGGTCAATCTTACCCTTCAATTTGACGGAGGCACCAACTGTTCTGCACTCCTTCAAATTTCTTGCATCCATACTTCAATACTTCTGTGTCTTCACTCAAATTCTCTTCCTTTCCTTCTGCCCAGTTTCAAAAGAAGACTCTCCTCTTGCCAAAGCAAATCTATCTGTCCCCTTGATTCCATTCTCTCCACTCTGACTGACTCTCTCTTCACCTCTCTCTATTCCTCCCTTCTCTTTTCCTCTCTCTCCTCCTCTCCCCTCTTCCCACACACACTTTGCCAAGCTTATTGAAAGAGTAGGATATCCTCACTATTCTCATTATATCATTAATGTACTGCATGGTGAGTTAATCTTTTTTAAAAATTGATAAGATCATATGGCATAATGCAAATGTACATACATGCATATTAATTTCCATGCTACAAAGTTCTGAGTGGGTTTTTGGTTTGGTTTTTTTTTTTTTAATCTCAGCTTCCTACAATCTACCTTATTTTCCTACCGAATTACTAAAACTGACCTATTAAAAGTCAGTCACTCACCAATGGCCTCCTAATTGAAAAAAATCCATCTTTCTGAGTACTTAACCAGCTCCTTGACTTCTGACATCATGGATTACTCCTTCCTTCTGATACACATTTTTACCTTGGATTCCCAGATAATATATTTTCTTAGTTTTCAATAGTCAGTCAATAAACATTTACTAAGTACCTACTATGTGCCAGTCATCGTACTGAGCACTAGTGACACAAAGAAAGGCAAAAAAAGTGTCTTGCTCTCAAGGAGCTCACAGTCTAATGGAGGGAGACAACATGCAAGATACAGACAAGATAAATTGGTGATAATCAACAGTGAGAAGGCATCAGAAATACAGGGGATCAGGAAAGGCTTCCCCCAGAATGTGGGATTTTAGCTGGGCCTGGAAGGAACCCAGGAAGTCAGAAGGCAAAGATGAGGAGGGACAGCATTTCAGTCATGAGAGAAAGCCAGTGAAAATGCCAAGAGTTGATAAATGGAGTATCTTGTGTGAGGAATGTCAAGGAGGCCAGGAGGAGGTTATGAAAAAAGGACTTTGAATGCTAAACAGATGACTTTATATTTGATTCTGGGGACACTAGGGAGCTAATGATATTAACTGAGTGAGGGAGAGGGGAGAAAGGTTGACATGGTCAGACTCACGCTTTAGAAAAATCACTGACATCTGAGTAGAAAATGGCCTGGAGTAGAGGGATCTTTGGCAGGGAGACAAACCAGTAGGCTATTGTAACAGTCTAGGCACGAGGTGACGAAGGCCTGCTTCTCTAACTTTTCCTTCAGTAACACCTCCTCCAGCTTTTACATTGTCATTTTCCAAGACTTCCAATGTCACCAATATCTATCTCTGGCCCTAATTTGTCTGAGCTCTAAACCTGTATTCCTACTCCCCAGGAAACATCTCCAAAAGATGTCAACTCACTGATACCTAAAGTTTAACATGTTCAAAACAAGATTTACGCTTTCACCACAAACCTGTTCTTCCTGAATATATACATTACTGCCTTTCCAGGCTCCACTTATGATTCTCTGGACTTTCGATACCATGCCACAGAAGCCTCCTCACCCCTGGACTTCTCATACCAGAAGTATGCTCTACCCCTTGATTAGCTAGTTTCTCCCAGATTTTCCATTTCAAGGAAAGTATCCAGATCAGCCATGTCTTCATAACTCTCCAGGCTCCACTCCTGACTCTAGAATTTCTCTACCATGTCCTTCCTCATTAGAATATAAGCTCCTTGAGGGCAAGAACTGTCTTTCCGCTTGTATTTGTATTCCCAGTAATTAGCACTGTGCCTGGCACATAGTAAACACTTAATAAATGCTTACTTACTTGATTGCTAGTCACATCTGTCTTTTATAAACTTAATACATTTGTGAGAATCCTCTTCTGAGAGCCTTCAAAGCTGAATTTTGTTCCACTACATCAAATGCTTTCTTAAAAAAAAAAAACATAAACATGGCAGGATCTTTAATTCTTACAATGCTGTATCAAACTGTAAGAAAGATATGGTTTGCTTTTTAGAGGGATGGAAGGGGAAACAAAAGCCTATCTTTTCTTTTATTTTCATCAAAAATACTCTCCAGGTATGACAACAAGCATAAGGATTGCCTTTTTGTGTTTGTTTAGTAAAAGCACAACTGATGCTCTTTTCTATTCTTCTGGAATGTTCCCTTCTCTGAGATACCTTGAAAAAAAATCTATCTCTGAGTACCTTTAGAATTGTATTGTTCCTGAAATGTTATATACCCAGACACTCTTCTTGCCTTCATTTTCTTAACAAAATAATTCAACAAATGCTGCTGACTTTTTCCTATTTCACATATTCCCTTGACTAGACTTTTTTCGACTACATTGCCTATTCCATATCTCGCCTCCCATACCTCTTTAGGTATGTCATGCCTCTTCTACCCAACTGTCCAATTCTAAACACTAAGTACTTCTTAGTTCTTCTATGCTTTCTTCTGTTGGAAGCAATTGTTTTTTTAAAGGACACAATGTTAATTCTATTCTCTCACCACATTTCTCATTTCTTAGAAACACAGAGATTTGGTTTAAGTGAGGCACATAAACTGGAGTCATAGTCTATTCAATTGCAAGTGAATTGTTGGTGAATGAGTTATAGAAATAGCAAGAAGTTTCTTTGTGTATCTGGAGACACTATGGTTGGATTCCATTCAAAGCACTCAGACGAACTGTTGTTTCTTTTGGAACCCACTGGGGATTTCGACGGATAGAACTCTGAAATGAAGACCAAAGATGAGCAACATAAATTTATATTGCCGCCTCTTTCTCATGTTAAGTAGAAATATGATTGGGTGGAAGACAGAGAGAAGAAACTTAGAAAAGGCTGTTTTAGAAATTCACCCCATTTTTTCCTTTGAGTCTGTGTCTTCTTTCACAATATGATTAATATGGTAATATATTTTGCATGATTGAACATGTATAACCTATATCATATTGCTTACTCTGTCAGGAAGAGGGGAGGTGAAGAAGGGAGAGAGAATTTGGAACTTAACATTTTTTTTAAATGAAAGTTAAAAATTGTCTTTACATGTAACTGGAGAAAAAATATTATTGAAAAAAGAAAAAAAGAATTTCACCTTAGGTTCTATTCTACCTCTAAACTTTATGAATGCCAATCATCCAGACTAGAAACCTTGGTATCATTTTCCTCTTCTACAAACTCAAATCCAATCAGCTGCAAAGTCAGGATTACTCTTGGGCATTTTCACTCGGGCATTTTCACCCGCACACTTCCATACTTGGAATGTTCTCCCTCATCTCTGCCTCATACCTTCCTCCAAATCCCAGCAAAAATCTCACCTTCTACAGGAAATCTTACTTGATCCCCTTTAATTCTAGTGCCTTTCCTCTACTAATTTATTTACAATTTATCCTGTCTATATTTTGTCTGTACATACTTGTTTGCATGTTATCTCCCATCTTTTGCCTTTGTATCTCCAGCACTTAGCATAGTGCTTGTCATATAGTAGGTGCTCAATATTTCCTGACTGCCTGACACCCTACTCCAGTCTACCCAATATCCTTCCAAGGTAATTTTTCTATCATATAGAATTAATCATATTCCTGAACAGTATAATATAAACATGCAGAAGTGGGTAAAATGGAATGTCTTAATATAGTTTGGAAGAAAGACGGAATTAAAATAGATGAAATGTCCCCAACTAAATTACTTCCAAAGCAATCTAGTGCTCATTGTTTATCAAGACCTGGCCAACATGATAATGCTCTGGTCACAGTATACAGGCCTTGTCTGACATCTGGACTGTTTATACTGCTGATGTATCTTCTAAACCAGGGTATCTGCTTTTGTAGCCTTCCAAGGCATTATTTATCTCTGTCCAAAAAAATGTAAAATCCTAAGTTCTTGTTGAAGAGAAACAAAAACATATAGTAGTAGTGCTATATTTCTCCACTCTTTCTTGACTAAACACCTTGGGAAAGCCATTTATAATCAGTTCCTCCATTTCCTTTCCTTTCATTCTCTTCTGAATTCTCTGCAGTGTGGCCTCCAACTTCATCATTCAAGTTACCAATGATCTCTTAATTGCCCAGTCATCATCCTTCTTGACCTCTCTGCAGTCTATGACACTATCAATCAGCCCCTTCTCCTTGATACTTTCTTCTAAGTCTTTATGACACTGTTCTTTCCTGGTTTTTTACCTGACTGTTCCTTCTTAATCCCAGTACCCACTAGTTAGTGTCTACTAATGGCACATGGTCCCCAAGGCTCTGTTCTGGCTCTCCTCTCTATTACCTCAATACTATTTTGTTTGGTGATTTCATCAGTTCCCATGGATTAACTTATCGTCTCTATGCAGATAATTCTCAGATGTCTTCATCTTGTCCTATCCTCTCTCAGGACATCTCCAACTGGATGTCTCATAAACAACTTAAACACACCATGTCCAAAACTGAATCATTATCTTTCCCCAAAAACCACTTCCTTCTTCCTAATTTTCCCATTAATATTGAGAGTATGACCATCCTAGTCACCTAGGTTCAAAATCTAAGTGTCATCCTTTACTCCTCATTCTTACTACCCATATCCAGTCAATGGCCACGTCCTGTCATTTCTACCTTCAGAATATCTCTCATATACGGGCCCTCATTACCTCATGCCTGGGTTATTTCCTGCCAGTTCATTTTCTTGCCTTATATCTCTCTCCACTACAATCCATCCTCCACTCACCTGTCAAAGTGATCTTCTTAAAGTATAAGTCCGACCATGTCATTCCCTACTCAATAAACTCCAGTGGCTCCCTATCACCTCTATAACCAAATATAAAATCCTCAGGCTTTTAAAGCCCTTCATACTCTGGTCCCTTCCTACCTTTCAAGTCTTTTTACACCTTACACACTCCTGCACACTATTCAATTCAGTGACACTGGCTTCCTTGACGTTTCTTAACCCCAAAACCATACGTTTTCACTGGCTGTTCCTCATGTCTGAAATGCTCTCCTTCTTCATCTTCACCTCCGGGCTTCCTTCAAATCTCAGGTAAAGTCCCATCTTCTAAAAGCAGCCTTCCCAGTCCTCCTTAATCTTAGTGCCTTCCTTCTGAGATTATCTCCAATTTATCCTGTACATAGCTTGACTGTACATAACTGTTTCCATGTTGTCTACTCCATTAGCTTGTGAGCTCCTTGAGAGTAAGGACTATTTTTTTGCCTTTCTTTGTATTCCCCAATGCTTAGCATAGTGTTGTTCATAGCAGACACCTAGTCAATGCTTGCTGACTTGACCTGACTAGTGAAAAAATATGATATAAACTTAAAACAAATAAAATTGTAATTTGAGACAATCGTACTTAAGTT